CCCGCTCCATGCGGTGGTGCCTAGGGTCCGCGCCGCGTTCGCTGCTCCGCCATGACTGGCGCCCTCGTCGCCGTGGTCGTCGTCCGCCGAGGGGAGGAGGCTGTCAGGGGCCCGCGGGATCCCGGTCGCGGCGCTCTCTGGGCCCCTAGCCGCCCGGCTCCGCGCCGCTCCGCACCCCTCCGCGCCGCGCCCCCTCAGCACTGGCCAGCTCCCTCCCTTGACGTCACGCGCCGCTGCCGCGCACCGCCAGGCGGGGCACGCTGGGAGTTAGAGTCCGCTCAGCGAGGCCGGCCACGCCGACCGCACCAACTGGAGGGGTGAAGGAAGGATAAGAAACCCTGAGAAGGGAAAGCTAAAGTCTGCCAATATCAAGAACCGTGACAAAGTGTTTGATATCTATGTAGTAAGCGGATAGTTCCGAGCCTTCTCTTGATTTTGATATATTCTTGGTCAAAGTTCCCTAAGAGTCCTCGTAACCCCCCACCCCAACAATGAGTCTTCCCAAGGAGGCGGTTCGCGAGGGAGCCGGGTGAGCACGTGCAACGAAGCCCAGCCCTGTGGGCGGGGTCCTAGAGGCGGGGCTTGGAGGTACTCACGAGGGCCTCTCGCAGCCGCTGCAGGACAAATTGGACCGGAGATTAAAGGACCGGAGTTTAACTGGAGGTGACTGCGTTCGTATGCAAATGGAATCTATAAAACTCTACTTTCCGGGGTAGCCTTTAAAGCCTTTTTACCTCCGGGTGGGCGGGAAAGACTAAAGTTTCCCCTCCTTCTCTTTCATTTTACCCCTGCCCATGGAACAGATGGGCAAACTAAGCTCCGGGCCATTGGGGCTATTAAAGGCTCTTGACGCCAGGTGTCTTGAAACCTTCCGTTTAAGAGGGATCCCTTACCCAGCCTTGTTCTCCTTCCCCTTTACTCAGTTTCCCTATCTGTAAAAGAGGGTTGGAATAAGGAGGGGGTCCAGCTGGAAGATCCCGAACCCCTGCACCTTCCACCTCAGTTTCCCGAAGCTTTCCGGAAGCAAAATCCCGAATTTTGCAGCGGCTCTGCGGCCCCCAGCCGAAGCCACCCGCTGCGGCCACCAGGTGGCGCGCGGCCACTGGTCACTGAGCCCGCCGAGGTGTCCGCCTTCGGCGACCCCTTCGGGAAAGGTCTTCGCGGCTGCCGCCCCGGGTCTAAACCCTACCTGGCCCGCTTGAAGACAAAGAAGGAGAACGTTGGTGCTTTGCTCGCCTCTGCTTTGATGGGTCATGCTGCAGCTTCCTCGCTGGCCACTCATTCGCCCTCTCCGGTCCCCATCCGCCCCACACCAGTCCCTTAGCTCTTTTATGCCGTTTTTGCCTAATTTTAAGTCTTCGTCCTGGCATTCGCATTCCTGCTTGGCCTGACCCTTGGCCATATTTCTCACCACACACCTTCCCTCACCTGCTACGCAGGTCGCAGCTGCACTTGGCGGACAGCTGGACCTTACCAACCCTGGTGAACCTTTACAGTATTTCATTCGTACCCTGTGCCCACCACTGTTCCGGGAGACTTACACTAACGCTCTGCCGTTTAAACCTCATACTTCCTCTATGAGGCACCAACAATATTGTCCCTATCCAACATTGATGAAGTCCACCAGGAGTGACGGGGATTCCAGCTCCATTTTGTCACACACCAGAACCTGAACCCTGTGCTGCTTCAAGCTGGAACGCGGCTGACTTCATCCGACCCACTCTCAAACTCCTATTCATCTTTCAAGATCCTGTTCAAATAATTCTTCAGTAGCGTTTTCCTTAATTCCTTCCACCAGGGGACAGCTGGATCCCCTCTGCTAGGTAGCAGTGTTTCAGGAGCCAAACCCTGTGACTAAGAGAGGGCGGCCTGCCATTCCCTCAGCTGTGGGTTCTAAAATATGTCAGGACCATCTGGCCTTTCTTGGGAATCCCCCTTTTTGTCACAGGCTCTGGAGGTGGTGAGTTCTCTGTCCGTGGAGATGCTATCGGAGTCTAAGTGGCACTGCAGGAACGTACAGCCCTGGGCTTTCCGTAGCTGATGAAGATTCTAAGTCAACCCTCTTAGATGGGCAGAAGAGTTCAGCCAAATGCTCAGCCCCTGGAAATAACTCCTCCAATCCTTCAGACTACAGCTCTTTTGTCCCTTCCACAGACCTTCCCACACCCGCCTGACTAGTCACATCCCTTTATTCCCACTCATAACCCCAAATGCTGAATACCGATCTGGCACACAGTAGGCTCTCTATAAATAATTACTAGGTGAAAGAATGAAGAAAAACAGCTAACTGGCTGGGTGCAGTGGCTCACGCCTGTAATCCTAGCACTTTGGGGGGCTGAGGGGCTTGGATCACGAGACCAGCCTGACCAACATGGAGAAACCCCATCTCTACCAAAAATGCAAACAGGCGGGCGTGGTGGCGGCATGCCTGTTATCCCAGCTACTTTGGAGGACAATCGCTTGAACCTGGAAGGCAGAGGTTGCAGTGAGCCGAGATTGTGCCATTGTACTCCAGCCTGGGCAACAAGAGTGAAATTCTGTCTCAACAACAACAACAACAACAACAAAAACAGCTAGCCTTGAGTGAGAGAATTCTGAGCGTCTATTTCCTGTTTTCTAAGAGGGGATGGTAATAATGATAGTTGCTACCTAGCAGAAATGCTATGAGAATTAAACGATGCGTGCAAAGCAATTAAAGGTCTGGCCTAATAAATGGAACCTGTTACTAATGTTATTTAAAGAGTGGTCCTAAATCTCAGATGCATGTCTTCTGAAAGCGCCTCTGGGAAGAGTTAAATACCACACAACTGAGAAAAGCACAGGAAATGACTGCTGAGACCCTGGCCACTGTCCTAACCATAGAGGGCCTATGAAGTAAGCTCCCAGTACGAGTCCAGCACCTGCCTTTTAACTTCTCTACATTTCTTCCAACAATCCTAAGAAATCAATACTTTCCCCCCAGTTTACAAATGTGGGCACAGGCTCAGAAAAACATGAAAAAGACTCTCCTACCACCTGCGGGACTCAAGACAAAAGATCTGAAAAGGAATGTATCTAAGGATAAGGAGGGATCTTAGGGGGCGTGGTCCTGAGGCCAGCAGCAGCAGACAGGCAGGACCAGACAGGGACACAGCTAAGAACGAGGCAGGAATGGCCGGGCATGGTGGCTCACACCTGTAATCCTAGCACTTTGGGAGGCCACGAGACTTTCAGGTGGAAGGAATAGCATGTGCCAAGATCCCAAGGCCAGATCAGGGCTTGGCCCATTTGAGGAGCTGAGGCATGAGGAGGCGGCAGCCGGAGATCATCAGGTAATGTGGGGGAACGGCCAGTAAGGGGCAGAGTTCCTCCAGCGACAGCAGCCTTGCTCTTGTCCTCCCTAGAATCAGAGCCAGGCTGCGTTCAGAGAAAGGGCCGGGGTAGGGAATCCCTGCCTGCTTCGTTTAAGTACATTTTGTCTATTTTTTGAATAGATAGGACACACACATTACAAAATCCACAGGATGCAAACAAGTATTCAATGAAAACTCTTACTCCCTGGATCTCCTCCCTAGAACCACCAATGCTGACTTCTTGCATTTTTGCATTTTTTTTTCAGATAGTCTATGTCCATAAGAACATACACAATATTTACTCTTTTTTTGCATTTTTTTCTTCTTCTTCTTTTTTTTTTTTTTTTTTTTTTTTTTTTTTTTTTTTGAGATGGAGTCTCACTCTTTTGCCCATTTGCCCATACTGGAGTGCAATGACGCGATCTCAGCTCACTGCAATCTCTGCCTCCCAGGTTCAAGCAATTCTCCCTGCCCAGCCTCCTGAGTAGCTGGAGCTACAGGCAAGTGCCACCACACCCAGCTAATTTTTTGTATTTTCAATAGAGACGGTTTCACCGTGTTAGCCAGGATGGTCTCCATCTCCTTACCTCCTGATCCACCCACCTCAGCCTCCCAAAGTGCTGGGATTACAGGTGTAAGCCATTAAGCCCAGCCAAGAGTTTGCGTTTCTAACAAGTTCTCAGGTGATTCGGGGGCTGTGGGTCCAAGGACCACACCTGGAGAACTGCTGAGCTCTATCAAGGAGAGAAACTAAGAATGTGCCCTGGGAAGTCATGCCCCAATACGAGGGAACATACCAACAAGAAAGACAGTCCCATTGAGCGATACATTCTGTGAAGAAAATGAGACCAGGCATGGTGATACACACTTAAAATCCCAACACTTTGAGAGCCCTGGTGTCTGGATTGCTTGAGCCCAGGAGTTTCAGACCAGCCTCAGCAACATAGGAGACCTCATCTCTACAAAAAATACAGAAATTAGCCAGCGTGGTGGCATGCATCTGTAGTCCCAGTTACTCAGGAGGCTGAGGCAGGAGGATAGCTTGAGCTGAAGAGGTTGAGGCTGCAGTGAGACGTATTTGCAACACTCCACTCAAGCCTGGGTGACAGAGGAAGACCCAATCACAAAAAAAAAAGGGTACGGCTGGGTAATCTCATGCCTGTAATCTCAACACTTTGGGAGGCCAAGGTGGGAGGATTGCTTGAGCCCAGGAGTTCGAGACTAGTCTAGGCAACAGAGTGAGACCCTGTCTCTCCAGAAATGGTGGTATCGGACAGCGCAAGGGCTCACATGCCCTGGGAATATCCATCTCTCACGCGAACTTTGCAACCACTCCAAAAGGAAAGCACGAGTCCCCCATCTTACAGATGAGGAAACTGAGGCACACAGAGATGGAGGGACACGCCCAAGGTCCCACGGCTCTCTGAACAGGACCTGCGTCCATGCGGGGAGCCCACACGCTTCCCCCTGGCCCTGCTCCTGCGGGCTGTCAGCGAGATCCTCCCTGGAGCGCGGGCAGGGGTGCCTTTCGGAGAGTCACCCGACGGCGGGGAGGCCCAGCGGACGGCGGGCGCGGTGGGGCGGGTTGCCCCCTCCGCCCTAGCTCCGCCCCCGGCGCTGCTGGAAGGGGCGCGGGGCGGGCAGCAGGGGGCAGGCGGGGGGCGCGGGGCAGGCGGAGCGGGCGGTGGCGCTGAGCTCGCAGTGTGGCCCGAGCTTCCCAGCGTCCGTGCCCGCCGTCCCCGTGGCGCCATGGCCGCGTCCGCCCTCCCGCCCCGGCCGCTGCTCCTGCTGCCGCTGCTGCCGCTGCTGCTGCTGAGCGCTCGCCCCGCACGCGCCGACAGTAAGGTACGCGCGCCCCTCGAACCCGCGCGGCTCGACGGGGAGCGGGGCGCGAGGGGGCGCTGTGGCGGGGGTGCGGCCCGGGAAGGGACCCGGGGCCGGGGTGGAGGAGCCGGGAGCGGGAAAGACCGGACCTGAGACTTAGCACGGAAGCCGCCTGGGCAGGGGCCGGGAGAGAGGAGCGCGTGGGGGAAGAAACGCTGGAAATGTAGGGATGCTCCGGACGGGGCCTCAGGAAGGGGCGCTGGGACCGGGTCCGATTCCCGGAGGGGCCGGGGGATTCCCCAGAGTGCTGGCCAGACTCTGGGTTCGTGGGGGGAAGCCCCTGGCAACTGTTACCCAGAGACTCCCAGGCTTGCAGCAGGCCTGCGCCACGGCTTTCAGGGCCGGCTGGGGACTCGGAGTCCCCTCTGCCCCACGAATGCAGCGGGGTTGGCCACTCGCCGGGCCTCTGATGTTCTTGCCAGGGACCGGCACCCCCTGGAGGACTAGGTAGCTCCAGAAGTGACCTGAGCTGTTCTCTGCCGTGGCTAAGAGAATCTGCTCTGGTGTCAAGCCGACCTGGATTCAATCACACATCCGCTTCTCGGCCGGTGCCATCACCTCTCTGAGCCTCCGTCTATTCACCTGTAGATACAGGAAGAATCCTGGGACCCACTCCCTGCAGTTGATGATCTCTAGATTCGGTGTGGTCATGCCTGTAAAATACTTAGCACCACAGCACTTGGGGTGTTCTGGAAGTAACTCCCTGATGGCAAGGTGCGGTGGCTCACACCTGTAATCCCAGCACTGTGGGAGGCCGAGGCAGGTAGATCACTTGAGGTCAGGAATTCAGGACCAGCCTGGCCAATATGGTGAAACCCGGTAGCCAGCCTGGTGGCACACGCCTGTAGTTCCAGTTACTCTAAATAACTCTAGTAAAAATACAAAAATTAGCTGGGCACGGTGGCAGGCACCTTTTATCCCAGCTACTGGGGAGGCTGAGGCAGGAGAATCACTTGAACCCAGGTGGCGGAGTTTGCAGTGAGACGAGATTTTGCCACTGCACTCCAGTCTGGACAACAGAGCAATACTCTGTCTCAAAAAAAAAAAGGAAATGACTCCCTGAAGACAGGTCTCGGGGACAGTGAGGAGCAGGATGAGAGCCCTGGTCACAGGGCATGAGGGAAAAAGAGTGGATTCTTCTGATATCTCTGCAGCCTCTTTCCTAGCAGAACGTGTGTGTCCTGCCCATGGGCAGATAAAAGACAGAAGCCAGTAGCCACATGGTGAGTATATGAGCAGTGGGCACTGGCCAACCCTCAGTCTGATTCAGCTCAGGTTATGAAAGCAGCCATGTGCAATGCTGGCCATGTACTCCAGAGACAAGGAGGGAATGAGTATTGTTTCACTTTACAGGTGGGAAGGTGAGGGTGTTTAGAGAGGCAGCTGGCTTATGGTCTGGACTTCTTCCTCTGCTATTGTTTTGCTGTGTAACCTTGGGCAAATCACTGTCTGTCTCTGGGCTTCAGTTTCTTCATCTGAGAAATGTCTCCCCAACCTTCCTTCCATATGGGGCCCTCTGGGATTACCTGATCTGGCTCAGGTACGAGGACAAGTGAGCAGAAAATCCCAGATAACCAGATTGGTGCCTTGTCACCGCTGGGATCTCTAGCTGGGAGGGATATTTGGTCTTGGGCATCCTCTGTGCAAAGAGCTGTAGAGCTTGTGGGGGAGGGCTCACATTCAAAACAAAGCAAAGACAAAGAAAACCCAACACCCTGTTTATGTAGTGAGTCAGCCAAACACTTGCTAGATTGTGTGTGTGTTTGGTGGGGTGGGGGGTGTAGTGTTTAACTGTCCCCAGACAAGCTGGGGCTGGTGGGGTGGAGAGGCACAACCTAGAGCTCGGAGGGTGAACAGCTGGGGGACTCAGCACAGCCCTCCCCCAGACACCTCCCACCCCCACACCACTGCAGCCAGCTGGGAAAAATAAAAATCAAGTGATGGGTGAATTTACTCTGCATTCCTTAGCTCAGCCAGACTCCTGCTGGCTCTGCAGAGAGAGCTGTTTTCATTATCACCCGCTCCCTCCCCCTGTCACGCCCCCTCCCTTCCTCTCCAAGCTCATTCTGTTTTCCCTGGGGTGGAGGATGAGCCCTTCAGAGAGCCAGCCTGGGACCTGAAGTCAATGTAGGGCCCCAAAGGGTTAATTGGCCCCTCCTCAGGCTTCCTGTTCCTGGGGACTCCAGTCTTCCCTCTGGCCCAGTACATTCAGGGATCCAGGGCAGCTCACCCCAAGGACTCTGTTGGTCTCCTTGGCCAGCTCCTTGCTCTCAACGTGTGTTCATTTCATGTTTATAACTAGGTCTCTCCTAAACTGGATTTTGAGTTTCCATCTAAGGAAGTGCTTTCTCAGGGCTGGGAGTAGGAGGGGGACCCCACAGCTTCCCTGGTATTTCCGAAGGGCTGCCCAGCACAGAGATTGGAATGGACAGACAGGTAACCACATGACACCCAGGCAGGGCACCACAGACTTCTGGGAGGCTGCTTCTTGCTGTGCGTTCTTAGAATGTGGCCGAGAATTTTCCATCTCTACCTCAGTTTCCCCATCAGTGAAAAGGTTACTGGTGCCTCACTTCCTCCAGTATCAAGGGGTGGGAAGAAGGTCTTTGGTCAGCCTGCTGATCGGGGGCCCAAGGTCAGAGGGAAGGCCAAGGGTGTGGGAGCACAGCCAGGGGAGCAAGAGGGGCTACAGCAGGCAGGCGGTGGTGTCCAGGGCTGGATCAGTTGTTCCAGGCCAGGCCAGTCCCGGGAGTTTAGGTGTTACTTTGCCTCCACTCCGGGAGTTTCCGCCTGTGGGTGTAATTGGAAACAGGCTCTCGGGCAGGCGAGGGCTACATAGTGATGGAGTCCTCCTACACATCACGACTGTGAGGCCAGGCCAAGCCCCACTGGGTCTCTCTGCAAGGTGGGTCTCAAACCAACACTCCTTTTGGCTGGGGCATCTGGAGCAGAGCCCTGAGGAGCATGGTGTGTGCCAGGCCATGTGCCAAGCACTTACATGCAGAATCTTACACATCCCTTCTGCCAGCACTGTGAGGCTTCAGCGGCCCCTCCGCATTTGATGGTCTTGAACACTGAGGCTCAAAAGAGTCGAACTGGGGGTTGTTCAAAAACCCTGGACAGTGGGAGCCTGAGTAGTTGGAACTCTGGAGCCTCTAGGAAGCATCCAGGTAGCCTGGGGAGCCAGAAAGCCTCTGAATCATAGGGTTGGAGGAGGGCCCAGGCACCCCGGCTCCCAGGTACACCCCCAGGCAATGCTGAGGCATGGCCCCCAGTCAAGAACTCTTCCAGGTAATAGGGATCCATGGAGGTTTGTGGAGCAAAAGTAACGTAGATTACCGAAGAGGAGCTTTTGGGAGATTCAAATAGAGGAAGCCACTATATTGTCCAGGCAGCAGTTAATGTGGCCTCAACTTAGGCTGTGGCTGTAGAGCGGAGAGCAGGAGGCAAAGGTCAGAGATATTTAGGATGAAAGGTCAGAACAAAACGACTGTCCAGGGTAAGAGGGAGGCTCAGAGATCCAGGCTAGGCAAGAGGGTAGGTGGACACGGGGCTGGGAGAAGACACTGGGCCTGGTCTTGCATGGATTGAGTTTGGGGTACCTCTGGGCATCCAAGGGGAGGTGCCCAAGTCGCACTGTGCTCTCAGGGAGGTTGACACAAGTTGGCCAGGCATGGTGGCTCATGCCTATAATCCCAGCACTTTGGGAGGCTGAGGCAGGCGGATCACCTGAGGTCAGGAGTTTGAGACCAGCCTGGCCAACATGGTGAAACCCCATCTCTACTAAAAATAAAAGAATTAGGCACGCTGGCATGCACCTGTAATCCCAGCTACTCGGGAGGCTGAGGCAAGAGAATCGCTTGAACCCGGGAGAACGAGGTTGCAGTGAGCTGAGATCGCGCCATTACACTCCAGCCTGGGCAACACAGCAAGAATCCGTCTCAAAAAAAAAAAAAGAAAAAGAAAAGATGACACAAGTTGAGCCTGTTTGGTTGCTGGAACATTTCACAGCTTGAATGCCCTCTCCTCCGCTCTAGCCAGAGTCATCCATCTCTCCGCAGAAAAATGTTGAATACACCTTCATCTCACCGTGGAATTTCCTTGCAAATACCTGGGTACTTTTTAAAGCACAAACCACTCCTAGTTCTGGGGACTTTGGCATCCGTGTGTGCTGAGCAAGGCTACAGGGAGAGATGAGGGGCGAGGCAGGTACTTTCCTGCTTGGCACAACTCCAGCCTTCATGGCAAGGGCAGGGTGGGCTGGGCCCAGCAGGATTCCCGGGTTCTACACCCCCCAGGGCCCCCTCTGTAGAGACTCATCTGTTCCAGCTCAGTTGCTCAAGAGAAGCCCCTGCCTGGTGACTGTGGGTAGGCATGGGAGGAGCAACATGTAAGCCAAGTTTTGGAGTCAGGCCATGCTGTACGGCCCTGGGCAAGCCCCTAGTCTTTTCTGATGCTCAGCTTTCTCCTCTCTAAGATGGGGTTATGATGAGAGCACAGAGAGGTAGAAAATAATGAGCAAATGGCAGGGAGTGTTATCAGAAGTGATTTTTGATGGCAGGTACCCCTTAGAGAGCAGCTGTTCTGTGCCAGGTTCCATGCCAAGGCCCTGCATGCATTGTCTCTGTTCAGACTCACCATGAGCTTATGACCAAGGGACTGTGGTTCTCCCATTTTACAGAGGAGGAAGCTGAGGCTCAGAGGGGTCAAGGCCAAGCAGGGAGGAGGTGTGGGAGCTGGGACTTGAGCTTGGGTCTGGCTCTTCCCCCTGGTGCTCTGCTGCTCTCCAGCCAAGCACTGGATGTTGCAGTCACAGGAAGGGGAACGCTGCCTGGGTGCCTCGCAGCCAGCACTGGGAGCACAGGCCTTATTCCAACTCCTGGCCCATGTCAGAGCCTTGGCTGCCCCCATCAGGAGGTAGCACCTCATCTGAGGAGGGAAGTAATGTCACAGTCCAATGTGGAGGCAGCTGCTGGTACGGGTGGGTGTTGGGAGTATGGGTGGCTCCCCAGGAGGAGGCTTCCCTGGCCTGGCCACACGGAACACACCCACATCTACCTGCTAGGCTCTTGACCCCATCTGGAGGAGTGGGTAGAGTGGCAAGGAGTCCCAGCACAGCAGGGAAGGGAACCCAGGAGTCTTGAAGGACAGGCAGAGTTAGGGCGCTAACAGAGGCCAAGGAATGTACAGGACGCTGAGCCTGACTGTCGGTGTTCACAGGCAGAGAGGATATGGCCCAGAGTACACTTCACCTACTGAGACCCAAGGCACAGCCTCCACCCAGAGCCACCCTCCTCCCACCCTTCCCACCTCTCACTTTCCCCTGCGCCTCCACAGGCTGCAGAAAAAGCAGTGGGGGCAGGCACAGTAGCTCATGCTGGTAATGCCAGCACTTTGGGAGGCTGAGGTGGGAGGATCGCTTGAGCCCAGGAGTTTGGGACCAGCCTGACCAACATGGTGAAACCCCATCTTTACAAAATATACAAAATTAGCTGGACGTGGTAGCAAATGCCTGTAGTCTCAGCTACTTGGGAGGCTGAGGCGGGAGGATCACCTAATCCCAGGAGGTCAAGGCTGCAGTGAGCTGTGATGAGGCCACTGTACTCCAGCCTGGGTAGCAGAGCAAGACCCTGTCTCAAAATAATAATAATAATAATAGTGCATGCTTAAGATGCACTCAATATGTGCTGGGCCCTGTTCTTTACTTGTATCAACCCATTTAATCTTTCTAACAACCTCATGATTCCGAAGCACATTTTACAGATGAGGAAACAGACACAGAAATACTAAGTTGCCTACAATCTCATTGAGGCTCCAGATGCCATACTGTTAACCTTGTGCGCTAGCATGTTTGCAAAATGCAGGCTCATTTATCCAACAGATATTTACAGAGCACCTACTGCAGGCCAGGCAAGCACTATTATGAAAACATAGGAGGAAACTAGACAAAGTCCCTCCCACTAATGATACCTGTGGCATGGGAGAGACAGAATGAACACAAAAACAGGTCTCATATTTCAGGTGGTAATAGATGCAATAAAGAAAACCAGGCCACTAAATGAAGGGATAAAGAGTAACAGGAGGCGGACAGTCAGGGCAGGCTTCTCAGAGGAGGTGACGTGTGAGCAGAGAACTAAGTGATATAAGGGAGTGAGCCATGGAAATCTCAGGGGTTAGGAGTTTCTGGGGAGGGTATGACATATGCAAAAACCCTGAGGCTGGAGTGGAGAGAGTCACTGAAAGAGAAGGGCAATAAGGAGCAGTTCAAGGGAGAGTATTGACTCACAGGAGCCTTGAAGGCCATGATAAAGGCTTTGAAGGTCACAACACCTCCCTAACACACACACACAGAGGTAGTTTTTTTCTTCTTCTTCTTTTTCTTCCTGAAATAGAGTCTTGGTCTGTTTCCCAGGCTAGAGTGCAGTGGCACGATGTCCACTCACTGCAATCTCCGCCTCCTGGGTTCAAGCGATTCTCTTGCCTCCCGAGTAGCTGGGACTGCAGGCACCCGCCACCACACTCACCTAATTTTTGTATGTTTAGTAGAGATGAGAGTTCACTATGTTGGCCAGGCTGGCCTTGAACTCCTGACCTCAGGTGATCCACCTGCCTCGGCCTCCCAAAGTGCTGGGATTACAGGCGTGGGTCACTGCTCCCAGCCAGAGGTGTTATTTAAAAGTATAATGCATGTGAAACCTGGGATGTAGGTACCCAATAAAAGGTCTTCATAATTTTTATCATAGTAAAACAAACATAACAAAAATTATCTTTTTTTTTGAGACGGAGTTTTGCTCTTGTTACCCAGGCTGGAGTGCAATGGCGCGATCTCGGCTCACCGCAACCTCCGCTTCCTGGGTTCAGGCAATTCTCCTGCCTCAGCCTCCTGAGTAGCTGGGATTACAGGCACGTGCCACCATGCCCAGCTAATTTTTTGTACTTTTAGTAGAGACGGGGTTTCACCATGTTGACCAGGATGGTCTCGATCTCTCGACCTCGTGATCCACCCGCCTCGGCCTCCCAAAGTGCTGGGATTACAGGCTTGAGCCACCGCGCCCGGCCAAAAATTATCATTTTTAAGTATACACTTCAGTGGCATTAGTATATTCACAGTATCATGCAACCATCACTATTATCTATTAATAGTTCCAGAACATCTCTGTCACCCCAAAAGGAAACCCATGCCTGTTAAGCAGCACTCCCCATTTCCCTCTCCCTCAAGCTCTGGGAAGCCTCCAATCTGTTTGCTGTCTCTATGGACTTGTTTCTCCTGGATACAGCGTTTCATATCAACAGAATCATACAATATGTGGCCTTCTGTGTCGGGCTTCTCTCACTTAACATACTATTTCAAGATTTGTCCATGTTGTACCACGAATCAGTACTGCATTCCTTTTTTTTTTTTTTTTTTTTGAGACAGAGTCTCACTCTGTCGCCCAGGCTGGAGTGCGGTGGCGCAATCTCGGCTCACTGCAACCTCTGCCTCCCGGGTTCAAGCGTTCCTCCTGTCTCAGCCTCCCAGATAGCTGGGATTACAGGCATGTGCCACCACAGCACCTAATTTTTGTATTTTTAGTAGAGATGTGGTTTCACCATGTTGGCCAGGCTGGTCTTGAACTCCTGACCTCAAGTGATCTGCCCACCTCAGCCTCCCAAAGTGCTGGGATTACAGGCATGAGCCACCGTGCCCAGCCCTACATTCCTTTTTGTGGCTGTATAATATTTCTCTATTCAGCTGATGCACGTTTGGGTTGTTTCTACCTCGTGGCTACTTCGAATAATGCTGCTATGCACATTCACTTCCAAGTCTTTGTTTGGATACCCATTTTCCATTCTCTTGGGTATATAATATAATCCTGCAGGAATAGGATTACTGGGTCTTCTGGGAATTTTATGTTTAACTTATTGAGGAATCTCCAAACTTTTTCATAGGGCCATTAATATTTAAATTGCCGAGCCAGGTGAGGCTGCTCATATTGTAATCCCAGAACTTGCTTTATTGCCCAGGCAGGAGGATCACTTGTGGCCAGGAGTTCAAGACCAGCCTGGGCAACATAGTGAAACCACATCTCTACAAAAAAATTAAAAACTAGCTGAGTGTGGTGTCATGCACATATAATCTCAGCTACCTGGGAGGCTGATGCGGGAGGATTGCTTGAGCCAGGAGTTTGAGGTTACAGTGAGCTATAATCCCGCCACATTGTTCCAACCTGGGCAAAACAGCAAGACAAGACCCTCTCTCTACAAAAAAAAGCAAGTCAAAACAAAAAGATGGCATGGTGGCTCATGCCTGTAATCCTAGCACTTTGGGAAATGGAAGAGGGAGATCACTTGAGCCCAGGAGTTCAAGACTAGCCTGAAAAACCCCATCTTTACAAAATTATATGGGCGTGGTGGTGCATGCCTGTAGTCCCAGCTACTAGGGAGGCTAAGGTGGGAGGGTCACTTGAGCCTGGGAGGTCAAGGCTGCAGTGAGCCATGATCAGACCACTGCACTCCAGCCTGGGCAATAGAGAGAGACCCTGTCTGGCCGGGCGCGGTGGCTCAAGCCTGTAATCCCAGCTCTTTGGGAGGCTGAGGCGGGTGGATCACGAGGTCGAGAGATCGAGACCATCCTGGTCAACATGGTGAAACCCCGTCTCTACTAAAAATACAAAAAAAAAAAAAAAAAAAACTAGCTGGGCGTGGTGGCGCGTGCCTGTAATCCCAGCTACTTAGGAGGTTGAGGCAGGAGAATTGCCTGAGCCCAGGAGGCGGAGGTTGCGGTGAGCCGAGATCGCGCCATTGCACTCCAGCCTGGGTAACAAGAGTGAAACTCCATCTCAAAAAAAAAAAAAGAGAGACCCTGTCTTTAAAAATACGCACACACAGGCCGGGCACGGTGGCTCAAGCCTGTAATCCCAGCACTTTGGGAGGCCGAGGCGGGTGGATCACGAGGTCAAGAGAGCGAGACCATCCTGGTCAACAAGGTGAAACCCCGTCTCTACTAAATATGCAAAAAATTAGCTGGGCATAGTGATGCGTGCCTGTAATCCCAGCTACTCAGGAGGCTGAGACAGGAGAATTGCCTGAACCCAGGAGGCGGAGGTTGCGGTGAGCCGAGATCACGCCATTGCACTCCAGCCTGGGTAACAAGAGCGAAACTCCGTATCAAAAAAAAAAAAAATACACACACACACACACACACGCACGCATACACACACGCACACACACAGCTATTATAAGGCCTCCACCACCTCTAATTACACCCCCTCCCACCCACCAAACACCCTCATCCAAGGGCTGGCTGGCTAGCTGGCTTCTGCCATCTCTCCAGTCCTCCCTGCCAAAGGACTGCCCAGTAACTCACTGGAGCCCCCTTGCCACTCCCGACAGGTGTTTGGGGACCTGGACCAGGTGAGGATGACCTCGGAGGGCTCTGACTGCCGCTGCAAGTGCATCATGCGGCCCCTGAGCAAGGACGCGTGCAGCCGGGTGCGCAGCGGGCGGGCACGCGTGGAGGATTTCTACACGGTGGAGACCGTGAGCTCGGGCACTGACTGCCGCTGCTCCTGTACTGCACCTCCCTCCTCGCTCAACCCCTGTGAGAACGAGTGGAAGATGGAGAAACTCAAAAAACAGGCACCCGAGCTCCTCAAGGTAGATATGGTGGGGTGATGGAGGGAGTAAGGGCCGATCATGAGCTGGAGCCTGCTGTCCTGCCAATGAAAATTCCACACACTCGGTGAGGCAGGTGCTGTGACCACCCCATTTCACAGATAAGGAAGCTGAGGCTCCCTGAGGGGAAGCCACTTCTTACCAGTGACAGAGACAGGATTCATCTGCTAGTTTACTACCTATTCCAGTATCCTGTATTTTACCCAAACCAATTCAACCGTCGGCACCTAGCTGTATTTTAAATTTAAATTTTGTGGCAGTACTTTGTTTTGATTTTATTTTGTTTTTTATTTATTTTTGAGACAGAGTCTCACTCTGTTGCCCAGTCTGGAATGAAGTGGCACGATCTCAGCTCACTGCTACCTCTGCCCACCCCACCCCCACCAAGGGGTTCAAGCGATTCTCCTGCCTCAGCCTTCCGAGTGGCTGGGACTACAGGTGCCAACCACCACACCTGGCTAACTGTTTTTGTATTTTCAGTAGAGATGGGGTTTCATCATATTGGGCAGGCTGATCTTGAACTCCTGACCTCAAGTGACCCACCTACCTTGGCCTCCCAAAGTGCTGGGATTACAAGTGTGACCCACCGTGCCTGGCCTTCTCTGAGTTCTTTTTGTTTTTTTCTTCTTGAGACTTGCTCTGTCTCCCAGGCTGGAGTGCAGTGGTGCGATTTCGGCTCACTGTAACCTCCACATCCCGAATTAAGGTGGTTCTCCTGCCTCAGCCTCCTGAGTAGCTGGGACTACAGGTGCCAACCACCACACCCAGCTAATTTTTTTTTTTTTTTTTTTTTTTTTTTTTGCTATTTTTAGTAGAGATGGGGCCAGGTTGGTCTCGAACTACTGACCTTGTGTTCCACCCGCCTCGGCCTCCCAAAGTGCTGGTATTATAGGCAAGAGCCACCACGCCTGGCCTTCTCTGAGTTCTGAAACCATTCTGTGCAATACAGGATCATCTCCTCATGGGGAGGTGAGAAAACTGAGGTTGATAGAAGTTAGGTAACTTACCCAACCTCACATAATGACAGACAGCCTCCAATCTATGCCATACTTTTGTGCAAATTAGAAACCCTCGGCCGGGCGTGGTGGCTCACACCCGTAATCCCAGCACTTTGGGAGGCCAAGGCAGGTGGGTCACCTGAGGTCAGGAGTTTGACACCAGCCTGGCCAACATGGTGAATCCCTGTCTCTACTAAAAATATAAACAAGTATCTAGGTGTGGTAGCAGGTACCTATAATCCCAGCTACTCAGAAAGCCAAGGCAGAGTTGCTTGAACCTGGGAGGCAGACGTTGCAGTAAGCTAAGATTGTGCCACTGCACTCCAGCCTGGACAGCAGAGTGAGACTCAGTCTCAAAAAAAAAAAAAAAAAAAAAAAAAAAGGCTTGGCATAGTGGCTCATGCCTGTAATCCCAGCACTTTGGGAGGCCGAGGCGGGTAGATCACGAGATCTAGTGATCGAGCCCATCCTGGTCAACATGGTAAAACCCCACCCACCTCTATTAAAAATACAAAAATTAGCTGGGTATGGTGGTGCATGCTGTAGTCCCAGCTACTCAGGAGGCTGAGACAGGAGAATTGCTTAAACCCAGGAGGCGGAGGTTGCGGTGAGCCAAGATCGCGCCATTGCACTCCAGCCTGGGCAACGAGAGTAAAATTCCATCTCAAAAAAAAACAAAAAAAGAAAACAAGAAACCCTCAGCACCCCCACAGGAAGGTAAGAAGAGGCACTACCTCTGAGCAACACACACCCATACCGGGGCCCCCAGCAGGACCCATGCCTTGGTCTCAAAAAAAAAAAAAAAAAAAAAAAAAAACCAAGAAACCCTCAGCCCCCCCTAGGAAGATGAGAAGAGGCACCACCTCTGGGCAAAACATCCCCATACAAGGGCCCCCGCACAAGGACCCAAGGCTTGGTCAGACATGTCTGGGATAGATCTCAGTCCCCACAGCCGGTGGGCACCTTCATGCCATTTGTACTATGCTCAGCTGGGTGCTGGGTGGGTCTGGTGGAGCCAAGATTTGAACCTAGGTCCTGGGTGTCCAGAGCATGAGTTCTAAACCGCCTTGCTTTCCTGTCTTCCTTTTTGTAAAGAACCAGATTGTTTGGTGTCTTTTTGTTTTGGGGTTTTTTGTTTGTTTGTTTTTGTTTTGAGGCAGGGTCTTGCTCTGTTACCCAGGCTGGAGTGCAGTGGTGCAAACACAGCTCACTGCACCAGGCTCAGCTAATTTAAAAAATATTTTGTAGAGGTGGAGTCGTGCTGTGTTGTTCAGGCTGATCTCAAACTCCTGGGCTCGGGCAATTCTTCCCACCTCAGCCTCCCAAAATGCTGGCGTTACGGGAGTGAGCAACTGCACCTTTCCAGTTTGGTGTCTTTTGAAAATACGTTTTTCTTTTATAACTTCTCCCAAACCATATATATTTTGCCTGTTTGGTGTCAGAAACTGTGAAAGGTCTGAAATCTTACCCTACTTGTAAGCTAGTAAGTTAGCCTTCCAGTTTAATGGAAGCTGGCAGAAGATGCAGCCTCCTGGTTCAAAGTCAAAGCACTTTATTACAGCAAATCTATGTCTTCTTACACTGGTTTTCCCAGCTCCAATTGCCATGGGCTAATGCAGTGAGGGTGAGATAACACCTGCGTGTATAATAAGGTGTGTTACAGTGAGGAGCTCCGAGGTTAGAGAATCTGAGGTTTTTTTGTTTGTTTGATTTTTGTTTTTTGTTTGTTTGTTTTTTAGACAAAGTCTCACTCTGCCACCCAGGCTGGAGTGCAGTGGCATGATCTTAGCTCACTGCAACCTCCGCCTCCCATATTCAAAGAATTCTCCCGCCTCAGCCTCCCAAGTAGCTGGAATTACAGGTACACACCACCATACCCAGCTTATTTTTGTATTTTTAGTAGAAACGGGGTTTCACCATGTTTCACTAGCCAGGCTAGTCTCGAACTCCTGACCTCGTGATCTGCCTGCCTCAGCCTCCCAAAGTGATGGGATTATAGGCGTGAGCCACAGCGACTGGAGAGAGAATCTGAGTCTTTTATAATGGGCACCAAGCATGCCTGCCCTTTCCTCTGGAAGGAAACAGTAGCTCTGTTTTCTAAGGCTCTTCACTGTGCAGCTAGATGGCTCAGCGCAGAGCAATCAATGCTTCTGCAGCTAGTCACCCAGAAAAGCAAGACATCCATGAAGAACTGTCTCCCAACATTTGGCTAAAAATGTTTTGTTTTGTTTTGTTTTGTTTGAGACAGAGTTTCCCTCTTGTTACCCAGGCTGGAGTGCAATGGTGCAATCTCGGCTCACCGCAACCTCCACCTCCTGGGTTCAGGCAATTCTCCTGCCTCAGCCTCCTCAGTAGCTGGGATTACAGGCACGCGCCACCATGCCCAGCTAATTTTTTGTATTTATAGTAGAGACAGCGTTTCACCATGTTGACCAGGATGGTCTCTATCTCTTGACCTCGTGATCCACCTGCCTCAGCCTCCCAAAGTGCTGGGATTATAGGCATGAGCCGCCGCGCCCGGCCAAATGTTTTCTTTAAATTCAACTTCAGTTTGGGTTTTGTAACACCTGAATGGATGCCAAGTCGTCAAAACTGGGCGGGGAGTTGGGAGAATGAATTTTCAGCAAAGTGGCATCTTGATAGCTTGGCAGCCCCTGGATCGCTCTGTCTCCCTGGGTCTCACTTAGGACCCTGCGGATTCAAGGCACCCAGGCCCATGGCCAGTCTTCAGTTACAGAAACAAACCCAATTTCTGCTCAAGTCAACTTCTTGATAACTGAATTATACACATGCTTGACATGAGGACATGAAAAACTATTTATAAACACTGGCCAATTAAATTTTTGGCTAATTGAATCCTTGCTACACCCCTCTGGAGAGGGGGCATATGCTACCAGCTTTACTAGTGGGAGAATCTGAGGCCCAGAGAGGGTCTGTGACTTGCCTAAGATGATACAGCTTCTAAGCAGTACTAAGATTTTTTTTTTTTTTTTTTTTTTTTGAACCAGAGTCTCACTTTATCACCCAGGCTTGACTGCAATGGCACAATCTCAGGGTAACCTCCACCCCGCTTCCCCTTTCAGGTGATTCTCGTCTCAGCCTCCTGAGCAGTTGGAATTACAGGTGCCTGCCACCATGACTGGGTAATTTTTTTTTTTTTTTTTTTTGAATTTTTAGTAGAGACAGGGTTTCACCACGTTGGCCAGGCTGGTTTCAAACTCCTGACCTCAAGTGATCCACCAGGCTTGGCCTCCCAAAGTGCTGGGATTTCAGGCATGAGCCACGTATTAGGATCTGAACCCAGGAATTCTCTACTTTGTCCCTTGCCCACTGAAGGGTCATGAGACTGCTTTCTCAGCCAGGAGCCCACAGTCCCTTGGGCCTTCTCAGCGCACAGCTGCCACGGGGCTCTGGATCTGAAGAACTGGGGTAGGGTGATGGGGGATTGACCTGGCAGGTGGGGCTGGAGGAGGAAGAGAGGATATGCTGCCTCACTGATACCCCAGGGGTAGGAGTGGGTACACTTTCAGCGATCCCCAAGAGGAGCAGGCAGCAGAGGCAGTGGGAAACTGGGCTGGGAATTCCTGTTCAGCTTGGCTTCCCCTCTCTCAACAGAACAAACTCTGCAAGCATCCCCCAAGGGAGGAGGTTAAGGGGAGCCCACGGGATGGGGCTGGGGCACCTACCCTTTATCGAACCCCTGTCTCTATCCCAGCCTTTCCGTCAAGCTAATAACTCCAGCTGCCGCTTGTCCTCAGCAGCATGAATGCACTTTGAGTAGCCTGACTACTGTCCTTATTTTGGCTGGGAGTTGGAGGGTGCCTGTCACCTCCCCACTCCTTTTTCTTCCTGATGGGACCAGACATGGCTGCTGCCTCGAGGGGTCCCCAGGCTTGTGAGGACACAGCTGCTGACCCTGGTAGTGGCAGTGTGATCAGTGCTGAGCCGGGGACATCCCAGGGATTGTGGGAGCCCCAAGGAGGGGATAGGATAGAGCTGGGCCTTGAAGGATGTATAGGAGTCCCTCAGGCAGAGAGGAAAGGAGGGCATTTCTGGGTGATGGTAAGTGGGGTAGGTGTGGCACCGGCCTTCTCTCTTCTCTGGCCACACCAGCACCTGTGACTTCCTGTAGCGCAGCGATTCTCAAGCTACCTGTGGGGGAGGCCAGTTTTTTAAATAAGATTATAGGTCTGGGCCGGGTGCAGTGGCTCACAACTGTAGTCCCAGCACTTTGGGAGGCCAAGGTGGGCAGATAACAAGGCCAAGAGATAGAGGCCATTCTGCCCAACATGGTAAAACCCCATCTCTACTAAAAATCCAAAAAAATTAGCTGGCATGGTGGTACATGCCTGTAGTCCCAGCTACTCAGGAGGCTGAGGCAGGAAAATTGCTTGAAACTGGGAGGTGGAGGTTGTAGTGAGTTGAGATTAAGCCACTCCACTCCAACCTGGGTGACAGAGTGAGACTCTGTCTCAAGAAAAAAAAAAAAAGATTGAAGGTCTGTCAAGAACCAATACTTTTGTAAAATGCTATACAAATGAATTATTAGAAAAATGAAATGAGGCAGGCCAGGCTCGGTAATCCCAGCACTTTGGGAGGCCGAGACAGGTGGATCACCTGAGATCAGGAGTTCGAGACTAACCTGGCCAACCTGGTGAAACCCTGTCCCTACTAAAAATATAAGAAATTAGCCAGGCATGGTGGCAGGCACCTGTAATCCCAACTACTTGGGAGGCTGAGGCGGGACAATCACTTGAACCTGGGAGGTGGAGGTTGCAGTGAGTGGAGATTGTGCTATTGCACTTCGGCCTGGGTGACATGGTGAAAGACTCTGCCCAAAAAAAAAAAAAAAAAAAAAAAAAAAAGGAAGGGAGTGGGGAAGAAAGGAAGGAAGGAAGGAAGGAAGGAAAGAAGGAAGGAAAGAAGGAAGGAAAGAAGGAAGGAAAGAAGGAAGGAAGGAAGGAAAGAAGGAAGGCAGGAAGGAAAGAAGGAAGGAAGGAAGGAAAGAAGGAAGGCAGGAAGGAAAGAAGGAAGGAAAGAAGGAAGGAAGGAAGGAAAGAAGGAAGGAAGGAAGGAAGGAAAGAAGGAAGGCAGGCAGGTGAGAAGGCAAGCCAGGCTGGGCGCGGTGGCTCACAACTGTAATCCCAGCACTTTGGGAGGCCGAGGCAGGCAGATCACGAGGTCAGGAAATCGAGACCATCCTGGCTAGCATGGTGAAACCCCATCTTTACTAAAAATACAAAAAACAGCCAGGCATGGTGGCACGCACCTATAGTCCCAGCTACTTGGGAGGCTGAGGCAGGAGAATTGCTTGAACCAGGGAATTGGAGGTTGCGGTGAGCCCAGATCATGCCATTGCACTCCAGCCTGGGCAACAAGAGTGAAACGCCATCTCAAAAAAAAAAAAAAAAAATTTAATTTAATTCAAAAAAGCAAGCCAGAAAGAAAGAGAGAAAGCAAGCCGGCGATGCACAGATAAATCTAGCGTTTTATCGCGAGGGTCAGCAGATATAAAATTGCTCTGTCAAGGGGCTACAAAAGTTCCTAAAAACCTACTCCCATTTTCTGTAATGATTGTATCGCAGGCTGGTGTTAAGCAGTGTCTCGTCAGCAGATCACACGTTGAGTGGCATGGATGGAAACGCCACGTTTCTCCTCTCCTCCCATTCACAGCACAGGCTGCTCCCTTTACTCGGCATGGCCTTTTCTGGGCATCTTTGCCTAATGAGTGCTCCTCCTGCAGAGCTCAGCCCGAACAGAACTTCCTCCTGGCATTCTTTCCTGATCCACACCTGTGCCCCATCATTAATGATCTGGGTGCCTGTGTGTCACTACCTGTGCCCCTGATTCTGGACCTAGGTGTCACTGTGTGTCGTCGGCAGCCTGTGAAGGACCGGGGTGCCCCACGTTGTCTTGCTCATCACCGTCCTCAGTGCCTGGCTGAGTAAGCACCTGCTGGCCTGGAGGAGGGTGGCAGGGGCAGATCACAGAGGGGTCAGATGCCAGCCTCAGGAGATGAGAAGACACATGTGGGCAGTGGGGAGCCACAGGGAGTCATCTTGAGGGAGAGGGACCCTTGCCAAAGCCAGTGTTGGTGGCCATGAAGGCAGGAGCGTGAAGCTGGGAAATTCCCGCATAGCCTCTGGGAGGAGCAATCAGTGCTGCTGGGCTTCACGAAGCCCTCTCTGTGTCCACGCAGTGCTGAGCTCCGGCCAGACACTACTACTTACCACAGCCCTATTGCCCCATTTCTCAATGCAGAAAGCTGAGGCACAGAAGGTTGTGTATGGTTCTCAAACTGTATTCCATAGAGTCCTAGGGGTCCCATCCAGACCCTCGGGGCCAAAGCAAGGTTGTGGGAGAGCAGAGAAGCCTCTGAGCCTATCTTTGCTTCCAGCAGAGCCTCCCACCACCACTACCACCACCACCCCACCCCCACCCCCCACCTCCCACCCCCCGCCCACTGTCACTGTTTTAGAGATCAACTTCTGCTCAAAGAAAAGCTCCCTGGCTTAAAACAGTTTGAGTACCCCCTGAGAAGGTGGGAGTAAAACTGTTTTGGAAATAGCTGGCCAGGACCAGACAGGAGCACTGGCCTCTGCAGGCCCTGGGAAATGCCAGAAGGCTCAGGGCGGGACTGAACGGGAGGGTGGGCCCGAGGAACTGCCCTTCCCAAGAAGCCAGGAAAGGCTCGTTTCCCAACCAGCCCCTTGTGCCAACATCTCCCTGACACTGGCATTTTGGCCATCTGGAGGGAGTGTCATATCCTGATGAGGCATGACAGAGATGAGAGGGGGAGTGGTGGCTGTAGGGCAGAGCCCCGGGCTGGGCCAGGGAAACCCCGAGGCTGCTCCAGGTCCTGCTGCTGACCTGTTGTGCAAGGCCCTCCCCATCTCTCGGCTGCTGTTTCCCCATCTGACCATGAGACAGGAGCCGTAAAGCATGATAGGAAAGAGACAGCGATCGTGGTATCTCCCCTGCCGGGTAAGTGTTGGGAAAGAGATGTGGATTTATGTGAATTCAGGTTCTGCTCCTGGTTCTGCCACTGAACAGCTGAGTGGCTTTGGGCACGTCACTTCCCCACCTCTAAACTTCAGCTTCTCCATCTGTAAAATGAGGGTGAAAGTTGTCCATACCTGGTGTTAGTTTGGGCCACTAGAGGCAGGCTCTGAAGCCAGAGATTCAAGTGCAAGTGATTTATTTTGAAAGTACTCCTGGGCTGGGCATGGTGGCTCATCCCTCGAATCCCGGTGCTTTGGGAGGCTGAGGCAGGAGGATCACTTGAGGCCAAGGTGGGAAGATCATTGTTCAAGACCAGCTGGCATAACACAGTAAGATCTCATCTCTACAAAAAAAAAAAAAAACTTAGCCAGGCATGGTGATGCACACCCGTGGTCCTAGCTACTCCAGGGGATGAGGCAGGAAGATTGCTTGAGCTCAGGAGTTTGAGACTGCAGTGAGCTGTGATCGTGCCACTGCACTCTTGCCTGGGTGACAGAGTCTCTGAAAAAACAAACAAGGCCGGGCGCTGTGGCTCACACCTGTAATCCCAGCACTTTGGGAGGCCGAGGTAGGCGAATCACGAGGTCAGGAGTTCAAGACCACCCTGGCCTAGATGGTGAAACCCTGTATCTACTAAAAAAAAAAAACAAAAATTAGCTGGGCGTGGTGACGCACACCTGTAATCTCAGCTACTCAGGAGGCTGAGGCAGAGAATTGCTTGAACCCGGGAGGTGGAGATTACAGTGAGCCAAGATCATGTGACTGCACTCCAGCCTGGGTGACAGAGTGAGACTCTGTCTCAAAAACAAACAAACGAAAAAAGAAAATACTCACCAGAGAAACTTGCAATGAAGTGGGAGAAGCAGGGTGGGGAGAAGAGGGCATCCAAGTGAGAGTGTGGCCTTGGGCAAAGTGCCAGCCTCAGTCACATCCCCAGAGGAGCTCTGGAGGAGGGACAATGGCTCAGTTCATCTCCACTGGGGCTAGTGAGCCACAAGTATAGATGTCAATGTCAGTAGGTCGTTGCCTCAGGGCAGCTGCAGGAAGACGGATACTCCCTGGCACTCTGGAGGCAAAGCGACTCTGAAGAGAGTCACAGATGGACAGCAGGCACATAGAGGCCAGGGATGGGCACAAAAACAAGTAAGAAGGATCTCAGAAGATCCGGGCCAGCTCCGCCAATGCTCACTACACACTTCGTGAGACTGTTACAATGATTAAAACCCACAGCACAGTGCCTGGCACGTGGTAAGGGCTCAGAAGATGAACCTGTGGCTGTTCTTGTGGTTATTAGCAGGCTGGGTCTGTTGAGTGCTCAGGGCCCATGCCAGCCACTCTGAGGCTCTGGGCTTGTGGAGTTCTTTCTTATTTTATTTTCTTTTTCTTTTGGAAGAGAGCCTCACTCTGTCACCCAGGCTGGAGTGCAGAGGCATGATCTCGGCTCACTCAACCTCTGCCTCCTAGGTTCAAGCGATTTTCCTGCCTCAGCCTCCCGAGTAGCTGGAACTACAGGTGCATGCCACCATGCCCGGCTAATTTTTATATTTTTATAGAGATGGTGTTTCACCATGTTGGCCAGGCTGGTCTTGAACTTCTAACCTTAGGTGATCCTCCTACCTCGGCCTCCCAAAGTGCTGGGATTACAGGCGTGAGCCACCACGCCTGGCCCAGGTTCTGGAGTTCTTTTTTTTTTTTTTTCGCTCTTGTTACCTAGGCTGGAGTGCAATGGCGCGATCTTCGCTCACCGCAACCTCCTTCTCCTGCATTCAGGCAATTCTTCTGCCTCAGCCTCCTGAGTAGCTGGGATTACAGGCACACGCCACCGTGCCCAGCTAGGTTCTGGAGTTCTTAATTGCAGCAGAGCTCCTTTTACCCTCTGTGCCTAGCTGGCCACATGCTGTGCTCTCTAACCATCCTCCTTCCCCGGGCAGCTGCAGTCCATGGTGGATCTCCTGGAGGGCACCCTGTACAGCATGGACCTGATGAAGGTGCACGCCTATGTTCACAAGGTGGCCTCCCAGATGAACACACTGGAAGAGGTAAGGGCGGGGCTGCCGCCAGAGGCCGGGCTAGTGTGTGGTGCTGGGGGCTGAGGGCACTGTCCGAAGAGGGCCCAGGAAATCCAGACTTCACCCTGGTGACCATGGGAAGCTGGCCTCCAGCCAGGAGTTGGGGGAGGGAAACGCGGGCCACAGGGGACAGCCTCTGGGGAAGAGGTCTAACTGGCTCAAGGGCCTCCAGGAAGCTGAAGTCTGGCTGGAGAAACTGAGGCACCTGTTGGTTGTATGAAAGGGGTGTGGAGGGAGCGGGAACTTGCAGTTGGCCTCAGTGCACCAAGATCAGGACCCAAAACTCTGGGGGTACCATTCAAACAAGATTCCTTGGTGGCTGGGCATGGTGGCTCAGTGGCCGGGTGCAGTGGCTCACGCCTGTAATCCCGGCACTTTGTTACCCAGGCTGGAGTGCAATGGCGCGATCTTCGCTCACCGCAACCTCCTTCTCCTGCATGGTGAAGGTGGTGGCTGTAATCACTTGAGGCCAGAAGTTTGAGATCGGCCTGGCCAACATGGTGAAACCCCGTCTCTATTAAAAATACAAAAATTAGGCATGGTGAGGCACGTCTGTAATCCCAGCTACCCGGGCTGAGGCAGGAGGATTGCTTGAACCTGAGAGGCAGAGGTTGCAATGAGCTCAGATCGTGCCACAGCCTGGGCGACAGAGCAAGACTGTCTCAAAATAAAAAATAAGATACCTTGTTAGAGTGCCCCCTGGGTTGGTACAACATGGTAGGACTGACCAAACCCACTAGGCCAGTGCCCAGCTGCTGTGGAGGCAGAGGTGCTATGTGTCCTGCCCTGGTCAGGGTGAATGTGCTGTAGGACTGGGCAGGGGACCAGGACTGCCCTTGGGGACAAGGACAGAGTGGGGTGAGCACAGGGGTCCGAGCTGCAGGTTCGAAGTTTGCATCTCTGCTGGCACAGCCTCACCTCCGCCTGTTTCCTGTATCCGGCCTCTGCTGGGAGCCACTGGGAGTCTCGGGACATACAGCTGCCAGGAGCGGGTGTGGGGGCTTCCTTTCCCAGCTTCCTTTTCAGGAGGAGGGGGCACCTGGGCATCCTGTGCCCCAGGGTGGGAGATTAACCCCTTCCTCACCCCAGAGTTGGGATCACAGCGGCTTTAAGTAATTCAAACAGTGTTTGATATGTACCTACTATTGTCCAGGCCCTGGGAAGCAGCGGAGAAAGCTGACACTTGGTGAATTTCTTCTGTGTGCCAGTATTTCCTGGGCAGCTGGTACATGCCAGGCTCTCCTGTTGCTGGCTCTGAAGTTATTCTCCTTTGATCTTTCCTCTTGTCACCTCAGGAAATGTTAACCCACTTCATGTAACTCTGAGCCAAAGGATCTGGAGGGTACATTTGCTAGGCCTGAAACAAACCAGAGAGTTTCCACAGCCACAGAGAAATGACTTTTTAATTATCTTCTGTTTCACGTTTTCTGTGCTATGCTTCTTCTTTTTTTTTTTTTTTTTTTTTTTTTTTTTTTGAGACAGAGTTTCGCTCTTGTTACCCAGGCTGGAGTGCAATGGCACGATCTTGGCTCACCGCAACCTCCGCCTCCTGGGTTCAGGCAATTCTCCTGCCTCAGCCTCCTGAGTACCTGGGATTACAGGCACGCGCCACCATGCCCAGCTAATTTTTTGTATTTTTAGTAGAGACGGGGTTTCACCATGTTGACCAGGATGGTCTCGATCTCTTGACCTTGTGATCCACCCGCCTTGGCCTCCCAAAGTGCTGGTATTACAGGCTTGAGCCACCGCGCCCGGCCCTGTGCTATGCTTCTGTTAACCGTGGTGATAACCTTATGTAAAAATTAAAAACAGGCCGGGCGCGGTGGCTCACGCCTGTAATCCCAGCACTTTGGGAGGCCGAGGCGGGTGGATCACAAGGTCGAGAGATCGAGACCATCCTGGTCAACATCGTGAAACCCCGTCTCTACTAAAAATACAAAAAATTAGCTGGGCATGGTGGTGCGTGCCTGTAATCCCAGCTACTCAGGAGGCTGAGGCAGGAGAATTGCCTGAACCCAGGAGGCGGAGGTTGCGGTGAGCCAAGATCGTGCCATTGCACTCCAGCCTGGGTAACAAGAGCAAAACTCTGTCTCAAAAAAAAAAATCAAAAAAAAAAAAAAAAAAGCTTTTTCTCACCCTGGGAGGCGGTGGAGAGAACAGCCTCACTCAGGAGAGGCTGGCTTTCTCCTGGGGGTCAGCAGCAACTCGGTGTCTCAGCTTCCCTCTGCTCCCCTCCCTGACACCAGCAGTTTTCAACCAGGTATGATTTTGCTCCCGGGGGAAAGCTGGCAATAGCTGGAGACATTTTTAGTCGTCACAACTTAGGCGGGGGACAGGATGGATGCTACTGGGCTTCTACTGGTTAGAGGCCAGAGATTCTGCTGAACATCCTGCCATACACAGGACAGTCCCCAAAAGCCAACCGCTGTGTGGCAGATGTCAGTAGCGAAGAGGCTGAGAAAATCAGTCAGACCCTTTGACTTCTGTCGTCATTGGAATCAAGTTTTTTTGGTTTTGTTTGTGTTGTTTTTTGTGTTTTTTTGTGGTTTTTTCGTTCGTTTGATTTTTTGAAACAGGGTCTCACTCTGTAGGCCAGGGTAGAGTGCAGCCTCAACCCCCCAGGCTCAACCGATCCTCCCACCACAGCCTCCCAAGTAGTTGGGACTGCAGATACACACCACCACACCCAGCTAATTTTTTTTGTATTTTTTCTAGAGATGGGGCTTTACCATGTTACTCATGCTGGTCTTAAATTCCTGGGCTCAAGCAATCCTCCCGCCTCAGCCTCCCAAAGTGCTGGGATTACAGGCATGAGCCACTGCACCTGACCCCTGGAATCTAGTTTAAAATGCACTTTCATATTCCATAGGCTTTCTGGTCCTCACAGTGACCCTGCCATTTAGCTCATTTTACAGGCAGGGAAACTGAGGCTTGCAGAAGTAGTTACTAGCCCAAAGTTGCCCACCCAGGAAGTAGAGAGCAAGGATTTGAACTCAAGGGTATCCGATTCCTGCCTGCTGCCTCTTGGTCCCTGAACCTGAGTCACCCAGCGCTGACTGGATGTCACTCACTTTTAGGTTATCTTTTCCTCTGTAACAATTTCTACAAATGAAATTCTGGACCCATAGTTCCGTTGCTCTGCAGCTTCTGACCAGACTGGTGCTTTCTGCCTCTGACTCCTGTCTCTCCTGCTTTAACTGAAAAGTAGACTCAGATGAAAGAATCCCAGATCCATTGGAGCTCTGGGGACCTGGTACTGATACCTGCCAGGGCCCCCGGGTTTCCAAGTCTTCAAGGAGACCGCTAGACAGCAGGAGGTTCACAGAGCAGGGAGCATTATGGTTCTAAGCAGTCTGTCTGCTCCTAGCAGGATTCAGAACCAGGAGTAGATCCAGGAGCTGGTATGGGAGCTGCTAAAAGTAGGCAGGGAGCCAGAGCCCCAGCAAAGGGAGATGAGTCAGGGAAGGAGAACAGGCCTGGGAGTATAGACAGGGCTCAGTCCTGGGAGAGGAGCCCACACGGCCCAGGAGAGAAGTTGGAGACTTGGAGGGAAGCAGAGTTTCACCCTCCGCAAAACTCCAAAGGGCTTCACTCCATCTACGTTGTTTGAAGATTTTACAAACAGAAGGTATTTATGTATTATGTATACAATTATTTTAAAGTAGCCAAAGATTGGAAGCAACTTAAGTAACTATCAATAAGGGGCAGGAACAGTGGCTCACACCTGTAATCCCAGCACTTTGTAGGACTGAGGCGGGCAGATCACTTGAGGTCAGGAGTTCAAGACCAGCCTGGCCAACATGGCGAAACCCCGTCTCCACTAAAAATACAAACATTAGCCAGGCGTGGAGGCGTGTGCCTGTAGTCCCAGCTACTCAGGAGTCTGAGGCAGGAGAATTGCCTGAACCCAGGAGGCGGAGGTTGCGGTGAGCCGAGATCGCGCCATTGCACTCCAGCCTGGGTGACAAGAGCAAAACTCCGTCTCAAAAAAAAAAAAAAAAAAAAAGAAAAAAGAAAAAGTAAACATCAATAAGGGACTGGGTGGCCAGGCACGGTGGCTCACACCTGTAACCCCAGCACTTTGAGAGGCCAAGGCGGGCAGATCACTTGAGGCCAGGAGTTCAAGACCAGCCTGGCCAACATGGTGAAACCCCGTCTCTATTAAAAATACAAAAAATTAGCCGGGCGTGGTGGTGGGTACCTGTAGTGCCAGCTACTCAAAAATAAATAAATAAATAAAAAATCAGGGACTGGGTAAATAAATTATAGCCTCTCAAGTGATGGCGTACCGTGTGGCCGTGAGAAGGCATGGGAACCCTACGTGTGCAGATATGCGTCGGATCCCAGAATAGGCCGTTCAGCAAAAAAGCAAAGTGTTAAAAATGTGTGCGTATATACATGCGTTCCTCTAAATATACAGACTCTCTTTAGAAGGATACACAAGAAACCTATAATAATTGTTGGTACTGAGAAATAAAGGTGGGAGGGTGACATTTTTATAGCTGTTTATATCTTTCTAATTTAGTACCATGCACATGTATTATCTATTTTTTTTATTCCTTCACGTTTTAAATTTTAAAAGTTCATAAATACAGGGTCTCTTGGAGCCTAGTTTTTCCGGCCCATACTTCACGGGGCCACCCTCGGCCCATTCAGGGGACTGGCCAGCAAAGCCTAATGACCGAAGTAGGGGTGTCCCTCCAGCCTGGGGGTTCAGAGGAAGCTGGCCCAGGAAAGACCTCCAATCCTGCCCCTCCACAGAGCATCAGGGCCAACCTGAGCCGGGAGAACGAGGTGGTGAAGGAGAGCGTGCGTCACCTCAGCGAGCAGTTGAGGCACTATGAGAACCACTCTGCCATCATGCTGGGCATCAAGAAGGAGCTGTCCCGCCTGGGCCTCCAACTGCTGCAGAAGGATGCCCCCGCCGCCGCTGCCACCCCCAACACCCCTGCCACGGGCTCTGGTAGCAAGGCCCAGGTGAGTCCCCAGCTCTGATCACGGGGCCGGAGCTGGCTGGGCTTGGGAGCTCCATGTGCCAGGATGCTGGCCCTGAGGGCCAGCTCGTTGGGGTTTGGGGCTGCAGGATGGGTTGAGGGCTGGCACAGCCAGAGAGTCCCTGGCAGGGTGAGGGGCAGGAGATACCTGCTGTGCAGTGAGCACATTCAGCATAGGGAATGGGACAGACCTGGGGATCCCGCCAAGGGGGCTGGTCCCTGAGCCAGGTGTTTGGCAACCTTCTCATTCCCAAGTTTGAAACTAGTGGGGACAAGTTTATGGAGACAGTGCTCTCTGCCTGGCCCTTAGAGACCAGGTTGGCTGCAGCAAACCCACTTCTAGCCTCTCCTGCTGTGGCTGGACCCTTGGCTGGGTTGAGCCTGCTCAGGGGGAGGTGGGCAATGCCTCAGGGACCCCTGCAGACTGATACCCATTCACCCAACCCGCTCTGGGGTAGAGAACTCCTGCAGCCAACACCCATATGCTCCACCTCCAAGCTCAGAGCACAGTGAGCAGAGCTTCCGTCACTAGGCAGAGCCACACATGACAGATGACGCACCTACATGCAAATGTGACCAACGTCCTCCCTGTAGGCAGACGAGCTGCAAAGCTGGCTCTCCCTCTGACCAGATCAATGAGAAAGAACAACCACGTTTGGGTAGGCTGGTGGCACAGAGGCTCCTGCCTATGCTGGACATACACCATGGCATGTGGCTTGGCAAATGGAGTGCAGACTGGATTCAACCCCATTCAGGCCCCTCCAGCCAGTCGCCCCTGAGAAAGACACAAGCCACACCATTGTTCACAATGGCCTTGTTTTCTGGTGAGTGGCTGAAGAAGGGAGCTGGTATTTGTGGAATTCCTACTTTAAACTTGACTTTCTCACAGACGTTGTCAGTGAAGCCCATAGTCACCTGGGAGGAGGGGTGACTCCTGCCCATTTGGCAGATGCACAGAGAGGGGTCATGTGGAGAGGGCGTGGCAGAGCTGGGACTGGCAGCCAGGTCTGCGTGACTGCCGAGCCCACCCTCTTCCTCTCTTCCTCTCCACGTCTTGGCCTCCTTTGCTGACATTGTGATAATGGGGCCATTTGTGTCTGCAACTGGAACTGCCTAGATGCCGATAAAGCCGCTAGGAAGGCTGTGCCTTGGCCCCCAGCTGGCTTCTTGCCCAGTCCCGTGCCAGTTCCACAGGCGAGAATGAAGCGTGTTTTGGCAATGGTGCAGAAGGCGCCCAGCTACTGTACTTGCCGTATCTGCTGGAGCTTCTGCCTAACAATGGGTGATGTCACAGGGCCTGTGTTCTTGTGCCAAGCCAGCATCAGAGGCATTTCAATAAGAAGTGAAAATAGGCCGGGCGTGGTGGCTCAAGCCTGTAATTCCCAGCACTTTGGGAGGCCGAGGAGGAGAGATCGAGACCATCCTGGTCAACATGGTGAAACCCCGTCTCTACTAAAAATACAAAAAACTAGCTGGGCGTGGTGGCGCGTGCCTCTAATCCCAGCTACTCAGGAGGCTGAGGCAGGAGAATTGCCTGAGCCCAGGAGGCGGAGGTTGCGGTGAGCCAAGATTGCGCCATTGCACTCCAGCCTGGGTAACAAGAGTGAAACTCCGTCTCAAAAAAAAAAAAAAAGAAGTGAAAATAACAAAACACAAAACATTAGAAACGGCATAGCCTAGAGGTTGGATGTAGACCTCATGCCTGCAAGGGAGCTAGAGAGCTGTAGAGGAAACTGAAGCAAATCAGTCATGGATGTAGCCACCATGGCGAGTGGGGTAAAGGACAGCTGTGACTTTATGAGCGCTTGGGACGCAGGGTCTGGAGCAACATGACCACCTCCAGCCCCCACATGCTGAGCCCCCAGGACTCCCCACGACATCCCTTCTACTGTCCTTCAAGTCTGAGACTTCTCTTCCCTCCCAGGACACAGCTGGAGGAAAAAGCAAGGATATCAGCAAGTATGGCAGCGTGCAGAAGGGTGTCGCAGACAGAGGCCTCCCGAAACCGCCCAAGGAGAAGCTGCTGCAGGTGGAGAAGCTGAGGAAGGAGAGCAGCAAGGGCAGGTTCCTCCAGCCCACAGCCAAGCCCCGCGCCCTGGCCCAGCAGCAGGCTGTGATCCGGGGCTTCACCTACTACAAGGCAGGCAGGCAGGAGGTCACCGAGGCAGTGGCAGGTGAGTAGGGGAGAATGGGGACCCTGGGAAGTGGGGGATGCATGCCTCCTAGGAATCTCCTCATCTTCTCTGCAGTCAGACCGCCCCAGATTCAGTTCCACCCATTGATGACCTGTTGGGTGCTCTCTACTTATCAGCATATGGGGATAACACCCTACTCAGGGGGCTGTTGAGATGAAATCACAGAACCAACCTGAGGGCCACTGGATTGCCTTCCAGTATTTACAGCTGTCTTCACCTTTACTGGACTTTGCTTTTTGCATCGGAATATGAGCTGAAGGTCCACTCCCACCAGGTGACAGGGAATGGCAGAGACACAGTCCCTGCCCCCACAGATATCGTAGTCTAATGGGAAAAATTCCTGTGACCAGGCAGCTGCCACAGTGGGGGGCAGGAGAATATAGGGTTCCTGGGAAGTGACCAGGGCTTTTGGGGCTCCTCTCATTTCCTCTCCAGCTCCTCTCTCTTCTTAGATCCCCAAGGAAGAGCGCCTAGACTCTCGTATTTTTCCTGCAGCTCCCTGCTGGATCACCGAGAAGGGTGACAAAGCAACTGGCAAACAAGAGGCAAAAGTTTCAAGACACCCCAAATTTCTGAGCTGTCTCTATGGGTTGTGGTTCCTGATTCCCTCACTTAACACCCTCCCCAGATACCTGCTCTCTTCCGATGTCCCAGAAGGGTGTCCCAAACCTGCTCTTCCCTTCCTGGGTCCTGCTGAACCACCTCCCCCTGCAAAGCCCTCCTTTCAGTCCGTGTATAAGGGGCACAAGGAGGTGAAACAGCCAGGGACCAGGCTCATTTGAGATCCCTCTTGTTTCTTGGCCTCTCAGGACTCAGGAGCCTCTTCCCCCAGCGCCTGGTCCCAGCTGCTGCCCCAAACCCTGCCAGCTTGGCCTGGACACGGCACGGAGCCTCTGACCCCTGGCTGGGGCACTGCCTGAAAACAGCTGCAGGCATCTGACTCTGCCAGCAAGGCCTGTGGGAACAAGCACCCTCACCTGGCAGGCTGCTGAGGCCAGGCCTCCCTGTGGTCCTCCCTGACCAGGGGGACAACCCCTGTCCCCGCCAGGACTCCTTTGAGAGCCCTCTTGTTTCTCCAGGCTGCCCACAGCAGGACCTTTGCAAAGAGGAAGCCCCAAACGGAGAGTAAATGAAGTCAGGTTATTGTCCTCAAGTCAAGGGGTCTCTGAGCCCCTTCCCCAGCTTGCCAGGTGGTCCCCTGGGCCCCAGGCCATCAGAGTAATAACAGCACCACTCCTTTGTCTCCCTTGTGTCACAATTTTTTTTTTTTTTTTGAGTGGAGTTTCGTTCCTGTCACCCAGGCTGGAGAGCAATGGTGCAATCTCAGCTCACTGCAACCTCCGCCCCCCAGATTCAAGCAATTCTCCTGCCTCAGCCTCCCAAGTAGCTGGGATTACAGGCACATGCCATCATGCCCGGCTAATTTTCGTATTTTTAGTAGAGACAGGGTTTCGTCATGTTGGCCAGGCTAGTCTCGAACACCTGACCTCAGGTGATCCGCCCACCTCAGCATCCCAAAGTTCTGGGATTACAGAAGTGAGCCACCGCGCCCAGCTGGTGTCATAATTTTCTAAAAACTTTTTTTTTTTCTTTTGAGACAGGGTCTTATTCTGTCACTCAGGCTGGAGTGCAGTGGCGCAATCATGACTCACTGCCATCTTGACCTTCCGGGCTCAAGTGATCCTCCCGCCTCAGTCTCCCTAGTAGCTGGGACTACAGACACCCATCACCACACCTGGCTAATTTTTTCTATTTTTTAGTAGAGAGAGGGTTTCGCAATGTTAGCCAAGCTGGTCTTGAACTCTAGGGCTCAAGTGATCCACCTGCCTCAGCCTCCCAAAGTCCTGGGGTTACAGGCACCAGCCACTGTGCCCAGCCCTCTAAGCACTTCCATTCATGCCTTTGCATTTGATCCTGGCAGCAGCTGCATTTTCCATGGCAGAGGAATAGAAGCAGGCCTGTGCAATGGGAATAAGAGCTTCTCTCTAGAATTGAATTTAGGAAATGAGAGAACTGGTAAAACTGCCTGACGCATAGAAAAGAAAGGGATCTCCTTTTTGGCACCTCATAGTTGCTGGGATCTGTGCACCTGTTTTATGTACATTTTTCTGACATCAACACCACAGTCCAGCATGGTGGGCTCATGACTCTCAGTTCACAGAGGTGGCCCAGCAAGGCAGGGGAACTTGGCTGAGGCCGCCCTGCTGAGTTTAAAGCCCTGACTGTGAAGTCCTCCCTGCCTCCCACTTTGAAACCTTTCACCCCCTCCACTCCCTGAGGGTCCCTGAGCTGCCGGGAGCCCAGTGGGCCTGAGGGAGACCCACACCGCAGCAGGTTGTGCTGGAATGTGAGCATGGGGTCTTCTCTCTGCAGACAACGCCCTTCAGGGCACTTCCTGGTTGGAGCAAGTGCCGCCCAAGGTAGAGGGCGAGCCCAACTCCGCAGAGCAGGACAAGGCTGAGCCCAGGTCCTCAGAGGGAGTAGACTTGGCTCCTGGCACTGCCACCTCAGTCCCTGCCACCACCACCGCCGCCGCCACGCCGACTCCCACCACCAATCTCCTGCCTACTGAGCCACCTTCAGGTCCAGAAATCTCCAGCCAAGGTGAGTGAGCCTCACAGGGGTCAGCAAACTGTCACCTGTATCCAAATCTAGCCCACAGACTGTTTTTGTGCAGCCTTCAAGGCAAGAAATGCTTTTTACAGCTGAGCATGGTAGCTCACACCTGTAATAGCAGCACTGTGAGAGGCTGAGACAGGTGGATCATCTGATGTCAGGAGTTTGAGACTAGCCTGGCCAACATGGAAAAACCCCCTCTCTACTAACAATACCAAAATTAGCCAGGTGTGGTGGTGGGCACCGGCAATCCCAGCTACTTGGGAGGCTGAGGCAAGAGAATCACTTGAACCTGGGAGGCAGAAGTTACAGTGAGCGGATTTTTTTTTTTTTTTTTTTTTTGAGACAGAGTCTCACTCTGTCACCCAGGCTGGAGTCCAATGGTATGTTCTTGGCTCACTACAACCTCCACCCACTGGGTTCAAACGACTCTCCTCAGCCTCGTGAGTAGCTGGGATTACAGACAGTGCACTACCACGCCTGGCTAATTTTTGTATTTTTAGTGGAGACGGGGTTTCACCATGTTGGCCAGGCTGGTCTCTGACTCCTGAGATCAGGTGATCCCCCATCTCAGCCTCCCAAAGTGCTGGGATTACAGGCATGAGCCACAGTGCCCGGCCCAGGTAGTATTTTCAACCAATTCTTCTTAAAACGTCACCTAGAATGCCATCATCAAATCCAGCAACTATTTCTGTCTCTTAATTTCCTGTGTCCAGTCACTGGCCCTGCTTTGATGTCAGCATTTATAGTTTTGATTTGTGTCCATGGTAGAAATCTTCCTTGTGAAGTCATTGATCCCATCCTTCCGAGGGGATCTTGGCTGTCTGTGGTGACAGTCCTTCAAACCCTGTCCCGCTTTGGTCCAAGTGCATTCCACTTCTAGGAATCTTTCCTGAAGGATCCACCAGCAATGGGAACAACAGCTGCAGCTTAAATGGTTGGCTCAGGGCCTTATTTCTAATGTCAGAGACCTGGAAATAACCCGAAGGGCTGATGTGGGAAGACTGGTGACATACACACAGGGCACAGCTGTCCACCGCCCTGGCAGAACCTTGAAAGCACATCATTAAAAGGCTGTTTAATGATGAGAGAAATTGCTCAATGGAGGCTAAAAACAGGATACATAAAACTATACTCACAGCTTTTTAAAGTATGTCTGCATGACTGTACATTGCAAAGAAAAAAGAAAAGGAAGGAAATGTCACATATTTACATTTTTCTTTGGACGGGAGAAGGGTGGAAGGGGGTAAGGGATAAAAGACCACATACTGGCTATATAGTGTATGCTGCTCAGGTGACAGATTCATCAAAATCTCAGAAATCACCACTGAAGAACTCAGCCGTGTAACCAAAAACCACCTGTTCCCCAAAAACTATTGAAATAAAATTTTATTATTATTATTGTTATTGGGCTTTATTATTTTAATTTTATTTTTATTTTTTGAGACGAAGTTTCGCTCTTGTTACCCAGGCTGGAATGCAATGGTGCAATCTCGGCTCACCGCAATCTCCACCTCCTGGCTTCAGGCAATTCTCCTGCCTCAGCCTCCTGAGTAGCTGGGATTACAGGCACGCGCCACCATGCCCAGCTAATTTTTTGTATTTTTAGTAGAGGCGGGGTTTCACCATGTTGACCAGGATGGTCTCGATCTCTTGACCTCGTGATCCACCCGCCTCGGCCTCCCAAAGTGCTGGAATTACAGGCATGAGTCACCACGCCCGGCTTTGTTTTGTTTTGTTTTGAGACAGAGTCTGACTCTCACCCAGGCCGGAGTACAGTAGTGTGGTTGCAGCTCACTGCAACCTCTGTCTCTTGAGTTCAAGTGATTCTACTGCCTCAGCCTCCAACCAGCCGGGATTACAGGCATGCACCACTATGTCTGGCTAATTTTTGTATTTTTAGTAGAGACTGTTTCGCCATGTTGACCAGGCTGGTCTCGAACTCCCGACATCAAGTGATCCATGAAATAAAATTTTTAAAAAGAGAATAAAAGAACAGAAAAAAATTTTTCTTTGGGTAATGGAAATTTTTAGGTTTTTTATTTTTTATTTTATATTTTAAGAGTTTCGGCCGGGCGCGGTGGCTCAAACCTGTAATCCCAGCACTTTGGGAGGCCGAGGCGGGTGGATCACGAGGTCGAGAGATCAAGACCAACCTGGTCAACATGGTGAAACCCCGTCTCTACTAAAAATACAAAAAATTAGCTGGGCATGGTGGTGCGTGCCTATAATCCCAGCTACTCAGGAGGCTGAGGCAGGAGAATTGCCTGAACCCAGGAGGCGGAGGTTGCGGTGAGCCGAGATCGTGCCATTGCACTCCAGCCTGGGTAACAAGAGCGAAACTCCTGTCTCAAAAAAAAAAAAAAAAAAAAAAAAGAGTTTAAAATTTTTTTATTTTGTAAAAAGTAAAATAAGATTAAACAAAAAATTGTAAATGTTTTCGTTGACAAATAAAAATTGTATGTATTTATTGGCACACTGCAGAAAGAAAATTTTTTTAATGTATGTATTTATGATTTACAACATGATGTTTTGATATGTGTACACAATGTGAAATGGCTAAATCAAGCTAATTAGCATATATGTTACCTCACATTACTTATCTTTTTTTTTCTTAAAGAGCGCTTAAAATCTACTCTTTTTTTTTTTTTTTTTTTTTTTTTTGGTGAGATAGACTCTTGTGCCGTCACCCAAGCTGGAGTGCAATTGCCTGATCTCGGCTCACTGCAGTCTCTGCCTCCCGGGTTTCAGCAATTCTCCTGCCTCAGCCTCCTGAGTAGCTGGGATTACAGGCATGCACCACTATGCCTGGCTAACTTGTATTTTTAGTAGAAACGGGGTTTCACCATGCTGGTCAGGCTGATCTTGAACTGACCTCAAGTGATCCACCTGCCTCGGCCTCCCAAAGTGCTGGGATTACAGGCATGAGCCATCACACCCAGCCTTAAAATCTACTCTTTTAGCAATATTCAAGTATACAATATGTTGAACTTATTTCCATTAGCTAAATGAAATTTCAAATCCTTTTAGCAACATCTCCTTAATCCCCCCACCCTCTAGTAACCACTTTTCTACTCTCTGCTTTTATGAGTTTGACTTTTTTTTTTTTTCTGTTTTCTGAGTTTGACTTTTTAACTTTTTTAATTTTTAATTTTTTTTTTTTTTTTCTGAGGCAGGGTTTTGCTCTGTTGCCCGGGCTGGAGTGCAGTGGTGTGATCACAGGTCACTGCCACCTCAACATCCCAGGCTCAAGCAATCCTCCCACCTCAGCCTCCTTAGAAGCTGGGACACACCACTATGCTCACCTAATTTTTTATTTATTTATTTATTTATTTGTAGAGACAAGGTCTTTCTGTGTTGCCCAGGGTGGTCTCAAATTCTTGAGCTCAACTGATCCTCCCACTTCAGCCTCCCAAAGTGCTGGGATTACAGGTGTGAGTCAGTACACCTGTCCAAGTTTGACTATCTTTCTTTCTTTTTTTTTTTTGAGACAGAGTTTCACTCTTGTTGCCTGGGCTGGAGTGCAGTGGTATGACTCTGCTCACTGCAACCTCTGCCTCTCCAGGTCAGGTGATTCCCCTGTCTCAGCCTCCTGAGTAGCTGGGATTACAGGTGCCCCCCTACCACGCCCAGCTAATTTTTATATTTTCAGTAGAGACAGGGTTTCACCATGTTGCCCAGGCTGGTCTTGAACTCCTGACCTCAGGTGATCCTCCCCTCGGCCTCCCGAAGTGTTGGGATTACAAGTGTGAGCCACCGTGCCTCGCCTCCATTCTCTTTTCTGAATGTTTTATATTTTCAGTAATGATCAGGTATTGCTTTGATGATGAGGATTAGGGAAAGAAGGCCACAAACAAAATATCAGCAGGGATTGAAGTTAGACACAGATAACATTCCCAGCCCGTTGCTCTGGCTGCGGGCTTTGGGGGGTCTGTATACTGATGCTGCCTGCCCTCCTCCCCACAGGCAGAGATGCGAGCTGTGAGGGCACCCTCCGGGCTGTGGACCCCCCCGTGAGGCACCACAGCTATGGGCGCCACGAGGGAGCCTGGATGAAGGACCCTGCAGCTCGAGACGACAGGATCTATGTCACCAACTACTACTATGGAAACAGCCTGGTGGAGTTCCGCAACCTAGAAAACTTCAAGCAAGGTCAGGGACCCCGGAGGTGGAGACGGGGCGGGTATGGGCAGCCTGGGGAGGGGTCCTCTTGGAGACTTGGCCTTCCTTGCCTTGTGGGTTTCTATCGTATAGCCTGGCTGAGCTCCAGATTACCAGCCACTCCAAGGAGGGGGGTCTGGGCTGAGGGCACTGGGCTGGGGTCCCAGTCAGACCCCATGGCACCCCCGTGTGCTAGCACCGTGCCAGGAACCAGAATGCAGTGGCAAACAGGATGGAGGGGGTCCTGTCCTCACAAGTGTGACTTACCCCTTCAAAGGGCCAATACTGAGTTTCCATTTGTTGAGTGCTTACCCTGCGCTGATTGCCCCTTGTGTGTCAGCTCATGGCAGCCACATACCTCCAGAAGGTGGGGTTATCACCTGTTTTATAGGTGAGCAGGGCCTCAGGCCTTAGAAGAGCTGCAGGTCTGGGCAGGGGCCAGGATGGAGCTGACAGCACAGGGAAGGGCAGAAATCTGGTTATCAGATCTGGGGCGTGATATGGGGAAGGGGTCATTTAGATCTAGCCTGCCCTCCGGAAATGCACAGTCTGGTGGGGGAGGCAAAGGCTTGAAGAGACAATTTCAGTACAGCATTAGAGGGAGCACTGAGGGGGCCATGGAAACCCAGCCTAGAGATCAGGGAAGACATCCCCGGGGAGGCGATGCTGAGCTGGGACCCGGAAGAAGAGTAGGAGTAAGCCATGCAGAAAAGAGAGGTCAGGGTGTTCCAGGCAGAAGTCTCAGCACATGCAAAGGCCTGGCAAGGAGAAGAAGCGTGATGGCCTGGGGTTGGGGGTGGTGAATAAGAAAGCTAGGGCAGGCCTCATGAGCCACGTAAAAGAGTTTGGACTTAACCCTGAGAGCCGTGGAGTCAGAACTAAAGGCCTGGAACAGGCTGGGTGCTGTGGCTCATACCTGTAATCCTGGCACTTTGGAAGGCCAAGATAGGCGGATCACTTGAGGTCAGGAGTTCAAAACCAGCCTGGCCAACATGGTGAAACCCCATCTCTACTAAAAAATTAAAACAAAAATTAGCTGGATATGGTGGCGAGCACCTGTAATCCCAGCTACTCGGGAGGCTGAGGCAGGAGAATCACTTGAACCTGGAAGGCAGAGGTTGCAATGAGCTGAGATTGCCCCACTACGCTCCAGCCTGGGTGCCAGAGCAATACTCCATCTCGAAAAAATAAAGGCCTGGAACAATGAAAATCCTTCCTCTACCAGCTCAGAACTGGCCTTGAGCTTTCTGCTCAAGCAGCTCACAGGCTGATGGAGGAAGCCAGTGATAAGCATCAAGGTGAAAGCTTCTGTCTGGTGGCTACAGATGTGTCCTGGGGAGATAAAAAGACAAAGGCCATGCGAGGTTAGAGGAGGGGCCCCTCACTCAGGCTGGGGAGGTCAGTGAAGGCTTCCTAGAGGAGGTGACATTGGCCTGGGGCTCTGAAAGATGGGCAGGCATTCCCTAAGCTGATGACCTGGGGAACGGCAGTCCTAAGGAACAGCAGGGACAAAGGCCTGGAGACAAAGAACGGGGCTGATGTCATTCTGTGTCTAAATCCTAGCTGTGTCACTCCAGGGCTGGGTAACCTTGACTCCTCTGAGCCTGTTTCCTCTTAAGCAGGTGGGATGATGATAGACCTCCTTCGGGAGACGCTCGTGCCATAAGATGTCAGCCCAGCTCCAGGCACGCTGTACATGCTTGATATCAGTTGCCTACTGGGCCACTGAGAGTCCTTGGTGGTCTCGGGGGATGCGGGTGGGCTGGGGTTGCTCCGGAGGTCTGGGGTGACCATCGCCCTCCGCCTGCAGGCCGCTGGAGTAACATGTACAAGCTGCCCTACAACTGGATCGGCACGGGCCATGTGGTGTACCAGGGCGCCTTCTACTACAACCGCGCCTTCACCAAGAACATCATCAAGTACGACCTGCGTCAGCGCTTTGTGGCCTCCTGGGCTCTGCTGCCCGATGTGGTATATGAGGACACCACACCCTGGAAGTGGCGTGGCCACTCGGACATTGACTTCGCCGTGGACGAGAGTGGCCTGTGGGTCATCTACCCCGCTGTGGATGACCGCGATGAGGCCCAGCCTGAGGTGATCGTGCTGAGCCGCTTGGACCCCAGCGACCTCTCGGTGCACCGGGAGACCACGTGGAAGACGCGGCTGCGGCGGAACTCCTACGGGAACTGCTTCCTGGTGTGCGGCATCCTGTACGCGGTGGACACCTACAACCAGCAGGAAGGCCAGGTCGCCTACGCCTTCGACACGCACACAGGCACCGATGCACGCCCCCAGCTGCCCTTCCTCAACGAGTACGCCTACACCACCCAGATCGACTATAACCCCAAGGAGCGTGTGCTGTACGCCTGGGACAATGGCCATCAGCTCACCTACACCCTCCACTTCGTCGTCTGAGTGGAGACCAGTGCCCCTTGGAGAGGGGCAGCAGTGTGGGAGGGGTTCCCCACACCATCTCCTGCAACTGACCCAATCCACAGATATTTATTGGAGGCCAGCCCAGGGCTGGGACTGGGCATGAGGTGGTCACCAGGTTGAGCTTCCTCAGCACCCAGTGGGTAATACTTGCTTCCACTTGCAGAGCACTGTGCCAAGCACTTTCTGCTCACTTACCCATTGATTCTCCCAGCACCTCCTTGGAGGTAGAGATCATGAACCCATTTAACAGATGAGGAGACAGAGGCTCAGAGAGGCATCATCCCTTGCCTAACACCTCAGTTGTGATCACGCAGGCTGTGCTGTCACGACAGCCCCATTTTAAAGATGAGGAGACTTCACCACGCCCTCCCCTCTCTGCCCTCCCCCATCTCCCCTGGTCTCCCTTGTTCTCTAAACTCTGTCTCCCTTCCCAGGGCCACTCAGAACCAGAGGCCTTTGGGGCCAGGATGCTGGTGTGGGGTGGGTGGAGGCCCCGGCTCTGCCTGCCATCCCAGGGCCCTGTCCTGGCTGAGCTGTTGGTGGCCCTGGGCTTTGGGCTCCTTGGCCAGTGTCCTTGCCTCTTGCCTTTGGCCAGCCCACCCCACCCGCTGTCCGGCCGCATTCCAAACCTCTACCGTCACCTAGCTGCTGAGCAGAAACCGCACCCCGAGAGAAAATCCCAGCCTCTGTTCCAAGGCCCCTCTCTCTGCTCCATGCTCATTTTTATTTTTTCTTACTCTTCATCAGTGCCGTCATTTGTTTCTGCAGCAGCAGCTGAGAAGGCAGCAGGCAGCTCTGCCAGGGTGGGGAGCTGAGCTGAGGCTCCCTCTCTACCCAGAAGCACTGGTGTTGGTCACAGAGTCAGGCCTTGAGTCCCTTCCCTGGTTCATCCCAGAGCCTTTGGGCCTGGAGTCCACCTTGTCCTTTTTCTCTGGGCTTTCAAACCCACAACCTTTACACACTCAGGGATACCTCCAGGTCTGCCATGAATAAGACCCTAGGCCCAGGGCTGTTGTGGTGCCAGGATGGCACAGGTTCCCTCTTCCTTGCCAGCCTTGATCTGGTCACTGGGCGGGCTGGCTTAGCAGCCTGGGGTCTACAGAAGACACGGTGTGAGGAGTTGGGTCCAGGGGAGGCATCAGGCATTCTTCCGGTTGCAGGAGAGAGGCAGAGGGCAGAAGTGGAGAGGGAAGAACTGGGGTCTGCAGACTGGGCTCATCCTGGCTTCAGAGACGTTGTCGCTAGGGCTGCCCCAAGCGCAGGACTTCAGTTGAGGATGCACAGCTAGGCCACCTTGCCCGGGGCCACTGATGGCTCCCCGGAGCCTCAGACCCACACAGCCCAGAGGACAAGGCCTCCAAGCCTCTCCCTCTTCTGCTGTTTCAGACAGTATTTTTAGTGCTGGAAAGAAATTCTCTAGCCCAACTACCTGTTTCATGAAAGAGAACATAGGCTCAGAAACGTTTAGAGAGCAGCTCAGAGTCGCAATGGGAGCTGGGCACAGCCGACCTCCTTCCGGAAGGGCTCCCTCTGTCTCCTTTATTCTCCCGGCGTGGAGGCTGCCCTACCTGGGAAGGCACCCCAGCCACCGCAGCGCCTGTGAAGGGCGTTTACTGTGCATCCCCACCCACCCCCTGGCCCTTGCTGCCTTTGTGCTGTCCCGATGCCAGCTCCAGCAATGTCTGTATGTTTGAATGCCGGTTGCCATGTTAGGAAAGTCAGCTGCACAGCTAAGAGCGTAAGGAAATGCTTTTTTTTTTTTTTTTTTTTTTTTCTTGAGATGGAGTTTTGTTCTTGTTGTCCAGGCTGGAGTACAGTGGCATGATCTTGGCTCACTACAATCTCCACCTCCTGGGTTCAAGCCATTCTCCCGCCTCAGCCTCCCTAGTAACTGGGATTACAGGCACTTGCCACCACACCAAGCTAATTTTTGTATTTTTAGTAGAGACAGGGGTTTCACCATGTTGGCCAGGCTGGTCTCGAGCACCTCACCTTAGGTGATCGCCTGCCTCGGCTTCCCAAAGTGCTGCGATTACAGGCATGAGCCACCTCGCCCAGCCAGGAAATGCTTTTTGTGCAGAATACACTTTTTTCGGGCATTGTCAGGTGATGTTTTGTTTAAGCTCTAACTCACCCCTGGAATACAGGGGAATCATGACACTCGGCCCAGCCAGGCCTGACTCATCATGGTCACATCCAGCCCCCACCCCTGGCCAACCAACCGCTGCAGGCTCCTCTTACAGACGCATCAGGGGGCTACAAGGCCCGGCATCTCCCTTGGCTCTGGGTGTGGGTTTTACGAGACTGTGTCTTTTGTGACATCATAGCCCAACCATGTGAGAAGAAAGAGAAGGCCTCCCCTTTCTTCATTAATCTAAAAAAAGGAAAATGAGAACAGGCTGATTTCTAAAAGTTAAAGGACAAGCAGCATTGCATTCTGGGGGAACAATGCTGGCCACAGCCCCCAAACATTCACTACGCCTCTTCTATTTTCAGACCCTTATAAGTGGGTTATGTGGTGGGTATTGTCAGTTTTTTGTTTTTTGTTTTTCGTTTTTTTTTTTTTTTTTTTTCTTGAGGCAGAGTTTTGCTCTTGTTGCCCTGGCTGGAGTGCAGTGGCGTGATCTTGGCTCACTGCAACCTCTCGCTTCCGGGCTCCAGAGGTTCTCCTGCCTCAGCCTCCTGAGTGGCTGGGATTACAGATGCCCACCACTGTGCCTGGCTAATTTTTTGTATTTTTAGTAGAGAGAGGGTTTCACCATGTTGGCCAGGCTGGTCTCGAACTCCTGACCTCAGGTGATCCACCCATCTTGGCCTCCCAAAGTGTTGAGATTACAAGCGTGAACCACTGCGGCCGGCCAGTTTTTTCATTTTACACATGGTCACACTGGAGCCTAGAACAGTGAAATCACTTGTCACATAGGCAGTTAAGTGGAGAACCAGGTTTTAAAATCAGGTGAGAAAACCATCATTGTTAACTGAGCACCAGCTGTGCTAAGCCTGCCACGGGCACATCCTTGCAGCCTTATAACAGTGGAAGGTCTATATCCTGAATGTGCCCGTTTTATAGTTAAGGACACTAAGGAGAACAGACTTACCCAGGCTAACACAACAGCTCAGCCCGTTTCAGGTGCTGGTCAGTGCATGTTCTTTGCCACCAGCCTGTCACTCCAGTAGCCGCTCCAGAAACGGTGGCTGTGGCTTTTATCCACAAACTGGCATCCACAGAGAAGCCCCAGGAAGGAGGCTCTTTGGGGGACGGCTCATAAAAAGCCTCAATGCCAAGCCAAGGAGTGAATGCCTCCAGCCATTTTTAGAACAAAGTCAAGTATAAATGTACAGAGAAAAAAAATCGAAGACAGTTGGATGTTGTCCTGTTGGTGAGGAGAGGAAGGGAAAGGTTTTTGTTTTGGGGAAATGGAACCAGCCCACAACTGCATACATGAGCTCTCATGGAAACCTGACCCCAAATAGCTTTTGAGGGTTCTTGATTTTTTTTTAATCTGTCTTGGGCTTTATTATTTTTGGCAAAAGGTACTTCAAACAAGGGAGGGCCTGGACGGAGGAGAGCCAGGTCTTCTTACTGACCTAGTCCACAAAGGCAAAGGAGGCTGTCTCGGGTGTTCCCAAACGGCATCACACACGAAGGGGCTTTGGCTACCCCTTGGGTTCCTTCCTAGAGACTTTCAGCTCGCCAATTTAATGTGCTCTCTTGGGGGCAGGGCAGGTGTAGAGAATGGAGCCCCTGCCTTGGGGGCAGTGCTAAATAAAGGTGGAGCTGCGGGATTTTCCTGGGAATGATTTGAGGGCTCCTGAAAGGCCACGTGCCTTTTCCTCTGGGACAGCATGGGAAGCTGCTGTCGGGACAGGACACGGCGCTGGATGGCTGGCAGAGAGCCCTGGCTGGGAGTCAGGGAGCCCTGGGATGGAATCCAGCCCCACCTTTCATGCCACAGGTTTGCTCAAGTTCTCTCCCCTTCAGGGTAGGGCTGTGAAGTCCCTCTTACAGCTAAGAACATGCAGCTTAGTGAGGACGAGACCCGCCTAGAGCTTTCCCACGAATCCCCTCTTCCCCTAGAGCCCCAAGGCCGGCATTATTCCTCCCCACTACAGGTGATGAGCCTCAAGTTCAGAGCGCTTCAGCAACCTGCTCAGGGTCACGTCTCTAACAGGCAGTAGAGTCAAGGTATAAACAAGATCTGCTTCTGTACCAAAGTCCCAAACTAACTGTTGGTAGGAATCTTGTAACCAGTCATGTTTTCTTCCTTGTTATGGCTGCTGGGAAGCTCAAAGTCAAATTTGAGACCCTTTTTTAACCATTGTGCTGAGTCTACTGCTAGACTCACTTCATTCTAGCTTTCTGCTTTTGCCTTTACCCTAATCTTTTTATTTTTATTCTGTTGTACTTTATCTATTATCTATTTTTGTAAGTTGCCAAGATACCTGTTTTGCAACAAGATGGGATATATCTAAATAAAGACATGTTCAAAGGTTTGATTTAAAAGGCTGGACTAGAAGGCTGGGCATGGTGGCTCAAGCCTGTAATCCCAGCACTTTGGGAGGCCGAGGCGGGTGGATCACGAGGTCAAGAGATCAAGACCATCCTGGTCAACATGGTGAAACCCTGTCTCTACTAAAAAATATACAAAAAATTAGCTGGGCATGGTGGCACGGGCCTGTAATCCCAGCTACTCAGGAGGCTGAGGCAGGAGAATTGCCTGAACCCAAGAGGCAGAGGTTGCGGTGAGCCGAGATCATGCCATTGCACTCCAGCCTGGGTAACAAGAGCGAAACTCCGTCTCAAAAAAAAAAAAAAAAAAAAGGCTGGACTAATGCTGTGGTCCATATCCTTATCACAACACATACATTTAATAACTTTTAAAATAAATAGTTTGTCAGCCAGGCACCACAGCTCATACCTATAATCCCAGCACTTTGGGAGGCCGAGGCGGGCAGAACACCTGAGGTCGGGAGTTCGAGACCAGCCTGGCCAACATGGGGAAACATTCTCTCTACTAAAAAATACAAAAATTAGCTGCGTGTGGTGGCGCACACCTGTAGTTCCAGCTACTTGGGAGGCTGAGGCAGGAGAATTGCTTGAACCCGGGAAGCAGAGGTTTCAGTGAGCTGAGATCATGCCACTGCACTCCAGCCTGGCGCCTGGTGACAGAGTAAGACTCTGTCTCAAAAAATAAACAAACAAACAAAAAAAATTAGAGGACACTTTATAAGTTGGTAGCAAAAACAACAAAACCTGCTTTTTTTGGTTTTCTGTTTTGTTTTGGTTTTTTGGTTTTTTTTGAGACAGAGTCTCACTGTGTCACCTAGGTTGGAGTACAGTGGTGTGATCTCGGCTCACTGCAACCTGCACCTCACAGATCCAAGCGATTCTGCCTCAGCCTTCTGAGCAGCTGGGATTACAGATGCGCACACCACGCCCAGCTAATTTTTGTATTGTTAGTAGAGACAGGGTTTCACCATGTTGGTCAGGCTGGTCTTGAACGTCTGACCTCATGATCCTCCTGCCTTGGCCTCCCAAAGTACTGGAATTACAGGAGTGAGCCACAGCACCAGGCCAAAAAAACACTTTTAAACAAATGTTTAAGGAGGAACCTGTATATTACAACAGTAAAAAGGAAGCCATTGGCAATGACCACAAACTGGGATACTACATTGATAATAAGCACCACTGGTGCCTTCTGATACAGACTTTATCTGCTGGGCCTCAGGCCCCATAGCCCTCTGTGAAAAAAGAAGATTAGAGGCTGGGGATGGTGGCTCACACCTGTAATTCGAGCACTTTAGTAGGCTGAGATGGACGGATCATCTGAGATCAGGAGTTTGAGATCAGCCTGGTCAACTCAGTGAAACCCCATCTCTACTAAAAATACAAAAATTAGCTGGGTGTGGTGGTACGTGCCTGTGATCCCAGGTACTTGGGAGGCTGAGGCAGGAGAATCGCTTAAACCCGGGAGGCAGAAGTTATAGTTAGCCAAGATCTCACCACTGCACAGCTTGGGTAACAGACCAAGACTCCACCTCAAAAAAAAAAAAAAAAAAAAAAAAGGAAGACCAGCAAGTGTTTAGGGGACATCAGGGGTACAGTGGACAGCAAGGGGCAGCACATGCACATTGTCTTTGATATACTCAAAGAGATAAGATGAAAAGGGAACAGCTTTCTACCATATGATTCAGGCCGTCACATGGCAGCTTAGGTACCACGGAGGAGCTGTCTCAACTACCCATGGGTAGACTTGGATTAGGGCCAACTCCACCCCCACATACACAGACACACAGTTGCCCACAGACA